ACAGAGTTTTAAGGGAGACTATAGAAAATTGATGGCCAGTTAACTGCCAATGAGATTGGATCGTAAGAATATTACAGAGCCCTATGGGTGGATCAAGTATATTCCATCGTGACGCAACCAAAACCATCCGACCAGTTCTTTATGAGTTATCAGTCGTAATGATAAGACCTTAGGCATGTAAAACAAACGTCAGTTTGAGACGGAAAAATCCTGGTGATGTGAATACTTAAGTGTCATAGCTAGCGACCAGCGGCTTACCTTAAAGTTTCCATACTCCATGTAATATTCAAAATGCATGTTATCCTGACTGAACGCCACCAAATAACGCGTCACCCATTGGTTAGCATCTGCTCTTCCTTGTGTTGCAATTCCTGTGAGTTTCATTGGTCGACCGAGAGCGATCTGCAACCATTGATTGGCGTTTCTAATACGGGCGACCCAGGCCCCCATGAAGCGACCGGTACGCGAGCGGTGGAGTCGAGCGAGGAATGGACCGTGGTAGACGTTATAAGAAGAAGAGGCGGTCATGGCAGTGTTTTTGATCTTACCGCTCTGAATGCCAACTGGAATGGCGCACGGTCGAGCTGGATGAAAATAGAGTTTATACAACGAAAAAAGGACATAAACGAATAATTACAAAATGACAGATGGAAAAATATCCATGAGCTGTGTGCCACTTAAACCAATACTAGAAAAGGAAGGAAATCTGAATTATAAAGGAATCAACATTTTCGCCCCAGTATCTATCATTGTTCGAGACAACGCCAGTGGTCTTGTCGACTGAACAATGTTAAATTTCGCTTTTAAACCTTCTCTTAACAATTTTTATACATAATCCATCAATCAGCTGGAGGTTCTTATCTTGATCTTCTACCAAGCTCTCCCAACTAAATTCCAAGAAAAGTATAGCCGCCGAGACGGATAGTTACTTATTTGATCATGAAAGTTGGTCACTCGGGTTACATACCAGCTAAACAGCCATAGAATTCAGCCCTCATGGAGACATGACCGCGCCAAGACCTGGGATGGATTCGAACAAACTGCGCTTTGAAGGGAGGAACGAATCTGTAAGCTACCACTGTGTGACGGTCAAAATTACCACGGAAAACCTGAAACAAAAGAAGTAAATAAAGGCAAGGTTAATATACTTTCTGTGAGCAATATAGCGTGCACAACATACAAACAGAGCATACGCTCTTGTGTAATGTGGATCCAATTAATTTTCAATATGCCACGTTACAGCAGCCTTTTTAGTTGAAGGCCTTCTTTAAGGACACTGTAACGGAACATTTCAGGGTTGAATTGAAAGACAAAAAAAATATTAATAATAGTAATGGACCCATCCATTATTTTTAAGAACTTATGTCAGGATGAATGGCAAAATTCTTTGTCCCTCCGTACTAATTGACACGAAATCAGCTCTCAATCTTACCTCCTGACATATTTCTAGCACTAAGAGAAATAAGTACACAGCTTTAATAAGGATTTATTACGAGGACCTACCCTAGTTCTTCCATATTGCTTATAAGAGAAGAATGTTCTGCCATTTCTGCTGTATGATACAACGTATGACATCACCCACTGGTGAGCATCTTGTCTTCCTTGGGTGGCCACGCCCATGAGGCGACCCATAACGCCAAAGTCAACCTATTGACAAATATATCAACACACTCTCACTTTTATAATATCACAATTAAAGGAACGAGGTGATTTCTGAAGTTTGAATATTATTTCTGTTTAGCTGTGACACCAACTAGGTGAAGGCAATGATTGGTAAATTTTCATTAGCAGACTGTGTCAGATGGACTCTTTAAGAGGATCGCTTTCAAAAAAGAAATGGGTTCTAAATAAACGCTGTCATTTAAATAACTTTAAAATTATCGAGCCAGGACATAACAAAATAGCCAAATGTGACACCATTAAGCCAAATGAGGTAGGAAACTCCTATGATTTTGAAATAAGCTTCATAAACTGACAAAATCGAACATCAAGTGGTTTATATCTTGAATAACTTTACCTGGAACCATTGTTTAGCGTTGTTCCTCTGGGCACACCAAGCACCCGTCCGTCCACGCCCTGCGACCATGTTGAGTCGACCTCGATCGGGACCATGTCTGGAGTTGTAACTTGAGGAAGCAGACAGAGCACCGCTTGGGATACGGCGATCTTCGAGACCAATAGGAACCTTACATCTTCCTGTAAAATAGATAAAACAATACTGTGTCATGAAATTTGGTTAAGAAAATGTGTTTGAGCAAAAAAATAGGCTACATGCGACCAAAAAATGCTTTACTATCTAATACGGTCTAATAACAGAATTAAAATAATGATAATAAAATGGCCCATTTCAGGTACAGTGCTCACTATAGGATCCCCACTCTCAGTGTATTGCTTGAATTTACATTTCTTTCTCACTATATCTTGAAGCTCTTAGCAAATAATCCGTGTTGACCTTCTCGCCTCTGTTACTAATCGAATGGATATTTTAAGAAATCGACCAAAGTCTTAATACCTTCAGAGGGACATCAGTAGAGTATAACATACCTATGGCACAGCCATACAGCTCAACTCTGGTCGAGATGTGTCTGTACCATGATCTGATGCGAAGTCTGACAAAACGGCCACGGATTGGTGGAATGAGGGGATGAGAAACTACTGTGTTCCTATCCCTGTTTGCTTGGAAGATCTGATGAATAAAGCATCAATTACCTCTTACAAAGATCTGTCAATTATCAGAGGTACTAAGTAATAACTTGAAATCATAACGAATTCTTTCTACTGCTTAACATATAACGTGTATAGTTCTTCACGAGGGTTAAAATATGCAATAAAAAACACGTAGTCGGGCTACCTTTAGAGAAGGAGTATCATTGAGGTAGAGCTAACTTCACCGCGCAAACGCTCTTCAATATAAGTTATGTAAAAACATTTAAATTCCTCGACATCGGTGTTCCCTCCAGTCAAGTCGTTACAGGCTGAGCCCTTTAAGCGATTAACTGAAATCATACCTTCATTGTGTTGCGTTGAAAATAATACGCAAAATAAACGCCATCCTGACTGTAGAGTAAGTAATACGATGTCACCCACTGATTGACTGTGGGTCGGCCTTGAGTCGATATACGGACAACTTTAGTGGGACGCTTTAAGTCTATTTGTAACCACTGGTAAGCGTTATTAATCTTGGCAGACCAACCGCCCATGTATCGTCCCCTGCGTTTGTTTTGTAACCGCGCTAAATGAGGAGCGTGGAAGTTATCCCAGCGAGAAGATGAAGTGATGGCTACATTTCTGATGCGGCCATTCTGCATTCCAAGCGGACGATTGCACAGTTTGCCTGAAAATATAACTATTTTTAATGCGCGCAAAATACGAGCTGGGTTTGAACTAGGTTTAACACTACAATTCTGTTTGTGATAGTACATCATAAAGTTTAAAAAGTTTTCGACCCGAAAAAAATCAGAGATGACTTTCTAAAAAACAAGGACGATTCGAAAGTGTTCTGTTTGGTTGCCATTAAAGTATTTTTCTTTTCCTTGAAGAAAGCCAAATGCCACTGGTTATGTTTACATTAAAATGCTGTGCTGACGGAAGTTCATTTGTTTCTAGGAACTCCTCCCTAGTAAAATTTATTTTTAGAGCATTGTCAGCGGAGTTTCGTTTGAATGTCTTACCCAGTCTGCAGCCGTAGAGTTCAACCCTCATGGAAATATGGCTGCGCCACGTTTTTGGATGAACGCGCACATAGCGAGCTTTGAACGGACGAAGGAAACGGTGTGTAACCACGAAGTTCCTTTCAATGTTGCCTATAAAAATCTGTAAAAGGAAAATGAGACATTTTAGGGATTACCTTATGAATAATTACTGTGTTCTTTAAAGGAGTATGCTGTTTACAGAATAATTCCTTATCACCTTTACTCCTCGTCCTTCCTTGTACGGAATAAATCTGATATTGTTCATACTGTAGGACACAGCATAGCTTGTTACCCACTGGTCAGCGTCATATCTCCCCTGGGTAGCGATTCCTTTTAGTCGACTGATGGTACCCAAGTCTATATTGAGCCACTGTTTCCTATTGTTGTATCTGGAGAGAGAGGTTTAAAAAATGTCAAATAGTGTACCTCGTGTGAAACTGTGGAGATCTAATTGTTCTAATTGCTGTTGTGTACTTGTTGGCAACCTAAGGAATATCTGGTTGGTGAAGTACAGGCCTTAGGTTCCCAATCGTCTTTTCTTACTGCATGGAAAATTTCATTTTACGATTAAAGCTCATCATCTTCGATTCAGTTATTTCATTGCTATCCTTACAAGCGAGAAAGATGAGGTAACCTCTTAAAATTAATTACCTGGGAAGGGAACAACTAGGTAGACAAAAAAACATAATACATTTAATGAAAAAATTAAATAAAAGTTATTAACAAAACATTAGGCGCGTTGAAGATAATCTAACCAATCTTGTCCTAGCACCAGTTATAAGTAACCTTCGCATATGAACAAATCTTTGAGTAGCGTTCATCAGCCATTTTTTGTCTGTTTTCAATGAAATTACGAGCAAATTCTAGACCTAAAACTATTCCAATGTGTAAGTAGATACGATCGGACTTACTTTGCGATCCAGCCTCCACGCACATATCCATGATTTCTTGATTGAAGCCTGGCATTCCACGGACCATAGTAAAAGTTATACATGGAGGATGCTGTCACAGCCTGTTTGGTGATACGATTATCTTCCATTCCCAGTGGCACACTGCATGGATCTAAGACAAAAAATGAAAGGAAAGCTCCGTCCTAAATGAAGGAAACATGGACGTAACCTAGCGCTGGTAAAAAGAAATAACATGTCGAGGAAATTAGTGGATGATGATATACAATTTAAAAGAGTTTAGTGATTTTTTTCCTCCTAAAACTACTGAAGAAACGCGTCTACAAGCGAAACTTTTATTCTTCTTGTAATACTTGTTTCCGTGTTAAAATAATATCTACATAATTCGATAACAGGGGCAAAACATATCTTGCTCGCAATATGAGATACACCATGGTTAGGGTGCACCCTTCAATTCAAGGGTACTGACGTTTGCAAAGCCTACAACAGGCTCTGGATACAAATCAGAGAGCTTTAGGGGCATAGTATTTTAGATGTGCTTTTCTACCTTGCTACAATCGTATCATTTAAGTTCATTACCTGAGCGACAACCATAAAATTCAGCTCTCATTGAGATGTAACCATGCCATCCCCAAGGATGCAGACGGAGGTAGCGAGTTTGTATTGGAGGTGAAAGAACGTTTTCAACAATGCTGATACGGTCACGATTTGCTGTGAAGTACTGGAAGAAAAAAAAGAAACAGGATGATTTTCAAACTCTGGGAAAGACATCCTTTCATCAGTCAGTTCTTCACAGGGTAATTTATTATTATCAACTGAGTTGATAACGTAAATTGGCCACCATAAAGATTTTAAAAGCTGACGTTTCGCCCTTCGTCACAGCGATTGGAAGAATTGTGGGTTGTGTGCGTGTTTAATTCCTTACTCCATCAACGCTGAATCAGACTCATTGAGGTCATGAGAATAAATCAAATGATCACCAAATAAAGAAGCTCTTAATTTTTGACTACGCTCCTTCCATTGTTCAGTACAGTCTCAAAGAGATTGCTGTGTAACCTGACCTTATCCTGACTCCTCTGTCGGTATGTGGCCCAGTGCAGTGTGTCTAAGCTGTAAGTCAGCTTATATCGTGTCACCCACTGGTTCGCATCTCTTCTTCCTTGGGTGGCAATCTTTCTCACGGTGGTAACTCTACCAAAGTCCACCTTGAACCACTGATTATGATTTTTGTGTCTTGCAATCCAACAGAATGGTTTGTTTAAACGTCCATTGGGTGCTGTGTATCGTGCATTATACGCTGATGACGAGGTTATTTTTACATTGGGGATTCTTCCAGATTCCAATCCCAATGGACGATTGCAGAGGGGAGCTACAGAATAAGTAATGAAGATGACAACTCAAAATTGCACAAATAAAGAATGATGAGAATAAAGAAAATTAATGGATTAATGGTTGATCCAATACCAAATTCTCCGAACTAACATCATAAGAATCATAAGAATGTAAGGTAACGAGAATTTCTAATTAGATCTTGTAACGTCGGTTTGTTTCTTTACTATTTAACGAATAAATAACGTGAAAAACATCGGTGAATGTTCCCCCTTAGGAGTCCATGAATATTTAAGCCCAAAAATGTACAAATTTCTTGAACTGAACTTTCAGGACCGAGAAGCAGTCCTCGTCAATACTTAAAGCAAGTATATAGTATGTACTTCAAACATCACATTAGAAACTCGTTAACAGACGGGTAACAATCTACTTCACAACAATTCCGTGTCTTGCCTAGCTTTATAACTTACCAATAGGACAGCCAATGAAGTCTAATCTCATTGACATCCAGCCGTACCAAGTCAGAGGATGAACACGGACGTATGAAGCTGCGATTGACTTGGCAAAAGAGTTTGTTACTATTGTATGACGGTCACTGTTAGCTGAGAAAACCTGAAACACGAATGATTACAAGTAAAACAAAAAGTTTTAACTTCCCCTTTACACCACGTGTGAGGAGACAAACACAACACATGAAATTATAACCTTTCCCCGACAAAATAACCGTAGGCAGAACTTCCTATCCTAAGTCAACTTCACGCCGAGGTGAGGCACAAAACCCAAGTTTTCGAAATTGAATTGGCGCTCAGTGAAAAAAGGTTGCAAAAGGTGACAGATGGCACAGTTCTTGATATAGTTTATCCGTTCTTCTCAAACCTAGATCTTGTACTAGGACTTTGGGCGTTGTCAATGTCTCAATGTACTTCAAGCCTAAATACCCCAAGAACCTTTAGTTCAAGTCTTTTCTATTTCCTGTTAAAAGTTCGAGAAAACGGCAACCTAGGGATAATTTTTTTGCCTAAGCAGTTCACAAATACCTTTGGGTACTTGATAAACTTAATTCCGTCCCTACTAAACATCAGGACAAAGCTCTTGACCCACTGATTAGCATCTTGCCGTCCTTGGGAGGAAATTCCAGTCAGCCTTGCTAATACCCCAAAGTAAACCTGGAGCCACTGGCCACGCGCGCTGCGCCGCGCACTCCATGACCAGCGGTGGTTGATGCGACCATGCCAAGGAGCTAAGTATCGGTTGTAGTAGGTAGAGGCTGTCAACGCGCCATCACTTATGCGTTTGTCTTCCACTCCAACTGGGACAGAACATCGTGCTGCGAGAAGATCATAAAAATAGTATTACTTTTTAAAACATAACAGGATTCAAATTTGACTGTCCTTGAACTAACGTTAAACTTTGCGCATATAAACACCGAGTACTGAAGTTTAATTGACTTAAGGGAGCACTTTAATGAACATCTACAGAAGGGACGAGGGTTGAATGCCCTTGGAAACCATGCATATCAAGCGAAATGCATAACCACCTTTAGGAAAATTAAAAAAAATGTGATCCAACTCTTTTTAATCAAACCTTAGTATAGCCAAGTGTTGCGAAAAAGAAAAAGTATGCTTGTCATTTTGGTATCTGGAGGTTTTGCCCCATTGCAAGTTCGCCCCTTATCATCTTTGTGAATGTGTCCCCTGCAGTAAAGCAAGATCGCCTTCACCATTGCCGGTTCGCCCTTCAATTATAGTTAACTGTGTCGGAATTAAACCCTAGTATAGCAAAGTGTTACAAAAAAGAAAAAGTATGCTCGTCATTTTGGTATCTGGAGGTTTCGCCCTATTGCAAGTTCGCCCCCCTAACATCTTTGTGAATGTGTCCCCTGCAGTAAAGCAATTTCGCCTCCACCATTACCAATTCGCCCTTCAATTATAGTTAACTGTGTCGGAAAGGGGTGGAAAACATCAAGGTCTACCTACTTCCATCAATCTGTCTTACGATATCAAGAAGTTTGAAGGGGACACACTAAGACTTCTTAAAATAAAAATGAAAAGTCAGTGTAACCTGTGTGCGAAAATTCTATTTACCTTGCACACATCCATAGAATTCCACTCTCATGGAGATATGTCTGTACCATCCCCATGGGTGAACTCTGATGTAACGAGCTATTATGCGGGGGAACAGGCGATATTGAACGATGGAATTCTGATCTCTGTTTCCAGTGAAATACTAAAGCGCAACATAAAAGCACAATAAAGGTTAACAAACAAAATAAGTTGACTCGAGTTTAAGATTTACACTTTCTAAGATGTGTAAACCTGACAACAGGCCTGAGACCTTCCATAACATACAGATTTAGGCAAGCCTAAAAGCGGAGCTCGCATTTTTTTTTCCCGCTCGTCTCTTCAACAAAACTAAAGCCCCTACTTTGGATAAAGTGTATGGTAATATTAATAGATTTTCATTTGCAACTTCTCCGTGTCCGCGTAGAGGACTGATTATAAGATAGTGCCCGTGGTACAGTTAGCCGCGCATGCTAAAAGTAGCACCTTGTACAGTCGGTCGTACGGTCGTAGATCCGAATTTGTTAGGCTTGATGGGTTACTACTATTTTGTATAATTATGGGGCTACGCGAGCTCCGCTATAAGGAAGTCAAGGTCTACATCAGGCAAAGTGTATTAATGATTATAAGCAAAATGTTGGAGTAGCTTGAACAATATGCTGTGGCCGAAGAGAACATAAGTTCATTTTCTCCTATCTGGTGTCAGCGTTGAGCAATTTTATGATGATGATTATTTATAGTAATCCAGGATTGCACTGGTTTTCCTTAACGTTTTTTTCTGTGATTGGTCCGGAAAACTCGCACCATCCTCTTAACCAATCGGATGCAAAACTAAAACCAATTGCGACTTGGAAATTCGCGTTTTCCCGCGCTTTAACCAATTTACTTTTTTTCACTTTGAGTTCTTATTGGCTAATGATAATGAAAGTCTTTGTTCTGATTGGTCCCCGGGGTCATTTTGGTTTTGGTTTTTCGACACTCCATTGGAAACCGCTTCAGCATATTTATTTGAACATCGATCATAGATTGAAACTAACTCAGTACTTACTCGTCTAGCACTATTTAGTTTGTATTCCGCAAAGAAAACATAATCCTGGCTGTAGGACAAATAATACTGAGTCACCCACTGAGCGGCATCTTGTCGTCCTTGAGTTGCTATTTTAGTGACTCGCATTGTGCGACCAAAATCAACCGAGAGCCACTGGTAACGATTGTTGTGACGTGCGCACCACGCTCCCATCCGGGAACCAGATCGTTTGAAGTGGAGTCTGCCATTGTTGGGACTATGGTTTTTGTCCCAACTGGATGATGCAGTAATCTGGGAAGTTCGCAGTCGGCCGTTTTGCATCCCCAGTGGCTTGTTGCATTGTGGACCTAACGGACGGCAAAAAGAGAAAACGAATTAATTTTGAGCTATGTTCTGGCTAGTAACTGATCAGGGTTTTTACTCGTGAAGTTACGAAGGTCGTCCGAGTTTGCACGGTTCAAAGACCTTTGCACGAACCACTTTTTGAAATGTTCAATGTAAATTGTTTAAACAAAAAAGCCCGTTTTGTTTGTGGATTGGATAACTCTATAACTGGAGAAATCTCTATTCGGTGGATAGTTCACAACGTTCTCTAACTAACAGTCATTCGCTGGATAGCTATTAATCTCACTCACCAACAATACAACCGAAGAATTCCACCCTCATAGATATCCAACTTCGCCAAGTGACTGGGTGAAGCCTAAAGTAACGGGCCTTTATGGATCTCAAGAAACGGTTACAGACGACGATAAACCGGTCATAGTTTCCAGAGAAGATCTAGGTTGAGATAACAAAATACCATAATTTTTGGAAAGACTACAATGTCAAATAATAGGCGCAATATTAACTTGGATCGAACAAGTATCGCACACGGGTAAGCAGGTGAGAACAAAAGTCCCGACATTCATAACGTAATGAAAAAATAGAGATTTATACAGGGGAAACCTTCCCTGGCAGTTCTCAACATCTCTGGCAGCTCTGGGCTTATTTATTGCGTGATTTCAAGGGTATGCTATTTAGAGACTTTGATGCATTCTTTATGTTTCACACACAACTGCGGAACAGTAAAACAAGGCTACAAGTCAAATGAGGCTGGAGAATACTTTGTCAACATTCTTTGATTAGAAAAGTTAACCTAGATTTAGACAATTGCAACCTTTGGTCTCAGTCTTCGAATATATAACAATTTAAACATTTGTAGAGCATTCATCCGCTAATTCTGAGTGTTTAAGGTTAGAATCCTCAGGGAGACAAAGATTTCTCTGAAGCCGGTGAACAATAATAATAATTGAACAATAAGTTATTACCTTTGTTCTGCGACCTTCCTTGTAGGTTATAAACCGCTGACCTCTGCTACTGAATGAAACATAATAGCTTGTCACCCATTGGTCAGCATTTTGACGCCCTTGAGTGCAAACCCGCGTGACTACAGTATCAGTTCCAAAGTCCACTTGTAGCCATTGTTTATTGTTTCTTTGACGTGAACACCAGGCTCCTCCGTTTCTTCCAGCGCGGCGCTGATGTAATCTGGCATTCCTTGCCGCACAGTAAAAGTTGTAGGAAGAGGAGGCTCGGAACATTGGGTCTGGGATACGTCCATCTTCTAAACCGAGTGGAATGTCACATTTACCTGTAAGCAAATTCGTGTAACAGTAGATCAGTTTTTTGTTCTTAGAAGCGATACACGTTCGTTTTCATTGAGATATCGATAAGCTACCCAGAAAACATGAACGAACATAGGCGCAATATCAAGTATGAAAATTTTACCTCAATATAACTACAAATTATCGTAATTAATCCAAAATGAAATGTTTAGCAACGAGAAGGAAAAATGACTAAATTCATATCGAAAGTCGAGGAGATTTACGATTTTAGAAAGGACGTTTTCAAATTAGATTACGAAATTTTAAGAGATTAAAGAATCAAGAAGGGAGCTTTCCTAGTTAGGCATTGGAATCTAAAGAGATTAAAGATTCTAGAAGGGATGTTTGCTGGTTAGATTTTGGAATCTAACGAAATGAAAGATTCTAGAATGGAAGTTTACTAGTTTGGTATTGGAATCTAAAAAGATTAAAGATTCTAGAATGGATGTTTACTAGTAAGCGGTATTGGAATCTAAAGAGATAAAAGATTCTAAAATGGAAGTTTACTAGTTCAATTTTGAAATTTAAAGATTCTAGAATGAGAGTTTACTCGTTAGATATTAAAGAGAAATTGGGAGTTGAAGAGACTAAAGATGTAGAAGGTTAAATCAAAAGATTGTTCAAAAAATGTTGGTTCTCGTGGATAAGTCAATAATGTTTCATCCCGCCTTCAACTAATTGTTCCGAATTCTTCTGGCGTTATTTATTAACGTTTGTTGCGCTGTTTCTGTTGTAATATTAACTTAACGCTTGGAACAGATGAAACAACACTTACTCCATGGGCAGCCGTACAACTCTAGTCTCATGGAAATGTGAGATCTCCAACCTCTTGGCTGAATGCGTACAAATCTGCCATAAATGGGTGGATCGAAGGATCGCGTCTGAACTCCATTTCTATCGTAATTACCTGGGAAAGTCTTAAAAAAGAATAAAAAGAAATGGACGTTTTGATAAAAAATGAAATACTCTTCAAGTAAGCATTGAACAAGGGTCACTTTCTGGGAAGTTCAACCGAAGTTACAATTGACTCCTTCAATCTATTTGACATTCAAACTTAAAATATTACCTACATCACAAGAACATGATGATTGCCAAGTGAGTCGAAGATCACAACCTGAAATGTTTACTTGAGTATTGTTCATCTCCTAACCCTTTAACTCCCATGAGTGACCAAGACAGAATTTCTCCTTACAATATCAATACAATATCAAGCAGACAAGTGATGAGAATAAAGAAAAATATTAGTTATGGTATTATATGTTGATCCAATACCAAATTCTCCAAACTAAAAACACAAGAACTGTATGGAAGTCAGTAAGGAGAATTACTAATGAGATCTTGGGAGTTAAAGGGTTAAAGACAAATCAAAACAAAACAATAGAACCACATATTACCTTAACATTGTCCCACCATTCTCTAACATATGAGAAGCGCGTCCCATCATATCCATACAGGACCCAATAGGCTGTTACCCATTGATCAGCGTCTTGCCGTCCCTGGGTGTTGATACCCGATATTTTCATGGCCTTTCCTAAGTCAATCTGAAGCCACTGGTTATGATTTTTGTGGCGGGAAGACCAGGCTCCCATAAGCCGTCCGCGACGTGGGCGGTGAAGTCGTGCCAAATATGGCCCGTGGTTTGCATCCCACGAAGACGAGGCTGTCATGGCAGAATTCCTGATGCGACCATTTTGAATGCCCACAGGGTAATTGCAGAAATTCTCTGTGAAAACGTAACTAAGAGTAAATATGACCTTATTCTTCAAGAGAGGAGAAGGAATTGCGTCAAGTAAGCGGTCATACACGTAGGTATTACGAGCGATGTAAACTGCACCCAAACACTAAACAGCTCATTTCGAATGTTAAACAAAAGGAGGTTGTATCTACATTGTTTCATGTTTACAAAATTATTTTGGGGCTAAGTATGGAGGCAGGCGCTCGAATCTGCCTCCATATAAAACTTTCACTTTTTAGCTGTAACATTGTTCAGTGATGCCTGTGTGGAATACAAATGCCTGTTTTACCTACCTCAACGTATCATCAGATTAAACTTTTAGAAATTATTTAAATTTACTCTAGCAGCGATTGTAAAGAAAAGAAAAGACGACGATTGTACCAACGGTGAATATACATGTACCAGTTGTAACAGCGAGCGTTTAGAACTTATTTTAAGGCCCTCACCTCTGGCGCGGCAGCCATACAACTCTACCCTTATCGCAATATAACTTCGCCAGCTTCTTGGATGCAGACGGACAAAGCGCGCTTTGATAGGTGGGATGATACGGTGTGTCACAGTGTGATAAATATCATAGTTGCCACGGAATAGCTGAAACAGTAGAAATTGTAAATTGCGCTGATGTTTCACTGATACTCTTCAAACAAAGACAAGGCACGTGAAAGCCACGAAGTGAACAAAAGTAATTGCTGTTATAATTCAGTGAGAATAAAATAAATGGTCCTGTATGCAGATAAAAATCTGTTCGATTTGATATTGCACGATAAAGGAAAAACATTCTTCAAACCACACCAATATTAATGAGCGACGGAGTTATGCATCGGGTAAACAGTGCGCTAACGAACACAGGGATACCCACACAACATGATGAGAGCAGTGTGGAAAATTTGTCTCAAAAGGGAAAAAAATCAGACAATCCTTACCTTAATCCGGCCATAGGCAGCGTACATATTAAATCTCAGGCCCGTTCGGCTGTAAGAGAGTGTGTAACTCTTCACCCATTGATGAGCCTCTCTCCTTCCTTGTGTAGCGATTCCTTTGATGAGGCTCAATTGTCTTAAGTCGATCTGCAGAAACTGCTTGGTGTTCCGATGCCTGGCCACCCAGGCCCCTGTTCGTCCATGACCGTTGACGATGTTAAGCCGTGCTCGGTCAGGTCCGTGGTTGTAATTGTAAGACGACGACGCCCGAAGATGACCCGACAAGATACGATGATCTTCCATACCGAGAGGCATAGTGCAACGATCTAAAATACACGTGGATCAGCTTTTAGTCAACGAGTCTACTAATCCATTATAAGCGAACACTAGACATTTCGTGACTTTCCGATACTCCTACCAAACTGCCAATTCTCAAGACAACAATTATTCACGGAACCCTAACTTCCTTTTTTTTCCTTATCTCATGATAGTTCTTATCCAGATACCTGTGAAGCATCCATACAACTCAACTCTCATAGAAATGTGAGAGCGCCATCCCCAGGGCACCACTCGGACGGCACGGCATTTGAGTGCTGGATTAAACGGGTTCATAACAACAGAGTTTCGGTCTCGATTTCCAGTGAAGTACTGTGGGAAAAAATTGAACTTTTAATTTGCTATACCCATAAGGAAATTCATATGCATCGTAAGGAAGAAAAAACTACACAGCGCTTTTTGATCAAGTGTTGTGAAATCGAACTTGAACCAAAAGAATAACAACAGCTAATCAAACCAAAGGTGCACAACACTAGGAACCAATGAGGACTCATTGTGCTTCCCTGATAAGTATAGAAAACGATCGACCCTTTTTAAGAGAGAGTTTCCCCTCTTTCTGTTATATCTCCTCTAAAGTATTGCGCATATTTCAAAAATTGACCCTTCATCCAAGACAGTTCTGATAATTACAAACGGCGAGATAATCCTCATAAATGGGGAGCCAGGCTTAGTAAAGAATATAAGGGCTAGTTCTCCTCATAACTCTTCACTCACTCTTCTGCTGTTGCGCTCTTTGTATTCGCTGAATCGAAGTAAGTCCAAGCTGTGCATCACATAATACTGTGTAACCCACTGATCAGCGTCTTGTCGTCCTTGGGTAGCTATTCTGATTATTTTTGCCGCCCTTCCAAAGTCCACCTGCAGGTACTGGTAACGATTATTGTGTTTTGCTGACCAGGCCCCCATGTATCGTCCGCGGCGACCCCAGTGAAGTCTTCCCATGAAGGCAGCATGGTAATTATCCCACTGAGACGAGGCAGTTACCATACTGTTTTTGATTGCGCCTGTCTGGAGACCCATCGGTCGGTTACAACGACGTCCTACGCGAAAGAATGTCATTATAATGTTATAATTGGTCAGTCCTTTAGTCCTTATCTGTAACTAATCTCCTATTTCTCTCCACACCTCCATTGTTAATTCAAACATGAAGGCTACGAGAATGAAGGGAAGGATAGCTACCTGAAGAAGCTCATAATTTTTCACTAATTCACAAAATGTAAGCAGCAAAAAATAAGTCAAAGAATTATGATGTATCTCCATTCAAATCATACCATCCAAAACATTCCGACAATTATTATACTTTTTCCCGTTCTGCTTACAATAACATGCACATATATGCAACCATACAAAAACGCATGTGACGTTTCCAAACGTCCCTCTAAAAGCATTTAACCGTTCGCCGAAACAAAGATGGACATAAAAAGAAAAACACAGTAACCGCCAACTTTGTTTATTTTATGCATATATTTTTCAAAAGTTGCGCTGTGAAATGCCTTCCTGAAGCTAATTAATGCAGTTGCACTCACCAAGCACACATCCGTAAAGTTCAACCCGCATGGAGATGTGTCCATACCAACTTCTGACATTGATACGAACAAAACGAGCCGCAAACGGTCTGAACAGACGATGTGTGACGACGAAGTATCTCTCTTGATTGGCCGGGAAGATCTGTTTTGATATGGACAGGATAGGAGAGACAGTAAAAAATTAATATTTTAAGTCTAATAAACAGTACTTATCCAATTTTATGTAAAGACTGAAATACCAAGAGCACCTGTTTGTACGATTAACGCCAAAAACGTTTCGTTAATTGCACCGGTAAACCCACTAAAAATTGTGGTAAATTTTAGAAAAAGTAACAGAGCACACTTTTCATTGGTTTACTAGCGTGGGTTAATAGTAGCGTATTAGCCCACGAAAAAAGTTGGTAAATCACGAGCCGGAGGCAAAGGAAACGTTAAGTCAATGTAAGGATTGCAATTATCGTCTTTGACTAATTCGACGTAGTTCTCCAAACTAACAAACAAACAAACAAACAAAAAGGTGGTGTACTTACCCTAGTGCGCCTATTTTCCTTGTAAGGATAAAACCTGACAGCATTGTTACTGATCGAAAGCGTGTAACTAGTAACCCATTGATTAGCATCGTATCTGCCTTGAGTGGCAATCTTCTTAACGACAGATTTGGCTCCGAGGTCGATCTGCAGCCATTGTCGATTGTTGTTAATCCTAGCTATCCAGCCGCCACGGGTTGCACCGTGATTCCGAGCCTGCAGTCTGGCAGACCATGGACCATAATATCGGTTGTAGAACGTGGACGCAGACATCATAGATTGCGTTATGCGGCCATCTTGGATTCCGAGCGGCGCTTCGCACTTGTCTACAGTTATAGGTGAGGCGAAAAATGAAAGCATAACAAGTGATTAATAGGAAAATAGAAAATTAAGAAAATTTTGATAATGGGAATAAATTGTGAAAGAGTGATCAGACTCTCAGATTTTCAACCGTTTGAACCCTATTTAATCTCGTTTGAAAACTTTGATCAACCGGTTAAACTTAGAACGGTTTTTTTCCAAATAAAAGAGGTGTGAATTCAATAGGCCAACCCAACGTTAAGCCATTGATCCCAATACAACACGACCTAATGTCATATAACCTATGCGCAACAGCTTCGATACCATCTTTTTCTTCTCTCTTTTACCTGCTTTGCATCCATAGAACTCTATCCTCATACTGATGTGCCGATACCATCCTCGTGGAATGATGCGCATAAAACGAGCGATCACTGGTGGGTTAAGTACATTACATACGAGACTGTGTTGGTCTCGGTTTCCTTGGAAGTACTGTAAGATGCAACCAATAAATAACAGTTTAAATGGCACATGCATTATAAATATCACATGAAATGTCAAGGGTTACTTTTAAGCTTGTTTTGTTTAAAAGTTCCAAACGCTTCATGAATCGGATTATTTATAAGAAAAGCCTTCGCAATGCCTTCCGCGCTTTTCCTTAAAACGTAGGAAGAATACTGAAGGAAGTGTCATGAGAAATGAAGACGTGGGTTAAAAATGATTTCCCATTTTTAACAGTGCTTAAAACAGACGCATTTGGGAAAATTTTTCCTCGGTAGACTCAGTACTTTCGTCCTAATTCCTTTCCAATTTTTTCTGTTTCCATGATTACGATTCACAATAATCCCAAATAGCAAATTTCTTATTTAACTTTTAACTCAGGCGATGAAACGACAAAATAGTCCTGTATTGATTTAGTTGACAGAGTAAACCTTGTAATACGATATTTTCTTTCAATAAGTGCCGCTGATAATACGTACCACATCGTTACTCTTGTATCTGTACATGGTCCAGTGTGTTCCATCTTGACTGTACGTCACTTGGTATCTTGTTACCCATTGGTTGGTATCCTGTCGACCTTTTGTGACTATTTTCTTGATTTTCATCGGTCGTCTAAAGTCCACTTTAAGCCACTGATGGTGATTGTTGTGGCGTGCGCTCCAGGCCCCCCTGTACCGACCCCGTTTGACTGTCCCCAGCCTAGACAGTCTGGCATTGTGGTATTTGTCCCACTCTGAAGAAGCTGTGATTTGCTTATTCCTGATAGCACCACTCTTCATACCCAAGGCTTTGTTACAAACAGCAGCTGTATCAAAATAAAAATTTGCGAAAATATAAACATTTTGGAAAAAACAACAACAAACAATAACGAAGAAAATTTAAAGAATTGAAAATTCGCCCCTTTTTTACACCCCCTCCCTATCTAAAAGTGCATGCACCCCCACTCCTGGCAAGCCTGAAATCTAGTAAGTCCCCGTAAGGAGGGAGGGGTTCATAGCTTAGCGATAGGCTCACGGTAAACGGGTTTTCTTATACGTGCAATTGCAAAACAAATAAACAAAGGAAAAAAAAAAGAAAAAGAAAACTGATAAAAGTGTATCTGACTGCTGTGCACAGCAATTTTTTATTGATGAAAGCTTCAAAACTTGATTTCTATTTGTTTTCTACTCTGCCATAACTTCTCAAATACCTGAACATCCATACAATTCGATTCTCATTGATATCCAACTGTACCAGGTCTTAGGGTAAACCCTGACATACACAGCTGGGAGTCTCTTTCTGAATCGATGATACACCAATGAGTGGCGGTCTGTGTTGGCTGTGAATAACTTTAACAATCCAAAAACACATGTTATTACGTGAAAAAGTTGTTCACGGCCTCATTATAACGAGTACAGTCAAATTGTATCAAGCGATTACTCATGTGACTGTTACATAGAGTGCAATCAGCTGATTCGTTTGGAATCCTTATAAAGCTATGAAAAAAAAAGTTACGGAGACCACGTCGAAACCTCATTGCAACCATCTCGAAAACTAACATGACCATAGACCTCTTAACCCTTTCAAATATTCCTGGAGATCTCTGTAAGCGTAGTTAAGTGGGTTTTGATTTGATAAAAAAAAAATCGACGCGTATCGGGAGTCATCATTGTCAATTTTTTGTGGAAAATAGTTATAAAGTGAAAAGAGCCAATTATTTGTTCACTGATAAAATTTCTAAAAGTATATCATCACGAGTATTTGAAAGAGGCCTACTATCAGAGTTACTCTCTCTCATTCCCTTAAAGCCAATATAAAGTAAAAAAATTGGTCATCGGTTACCTTCACTCTTCTATTCTCCTTATACTGAGTGAAATCCACTCCATTCATTCCATACGACACAGTGTAAGTCTTCACCCATTGGTTTGCATCCTGTCGGCCTTGGGATCCAATGCCTCTCACACGGTAGATTTCCACCATATTAACCTGAAGCCACTGTTTGTTGTTACGATATCGAACACTCCATGACCAGCGGTGATTAAGTTTTCCATGCCACGGTGCAAGGTGATGGTTGTAATATGATGAAGCAGAAAACTGGCCATTTGGGATTCTCTTGTCTTCCAAACCAAGAGGAACACCACACGGGTCTAGGATTCAGGGGAAGGAAAATATGATCCAAATGAGAAACCTTCTGGCAAGCAGATTTTTTTTTTGAAGGCTCAAATTCAATAACGTTACCAGTCCAAGTTGTCGAATAAAGTAGAAAAAAATTATATTGCAAGAAAGAACTTTAAAGAAACTAATCTATATGGAAGTCTGATTTTTTAAATTAATAAATATTGGAGCAAAATTATAAACGAATAATAACCTTGTCTTCTAAGAATTGAGAAAAGTTGTGTCATGTTGGTGGCCAGTGAAGTAACAAGGTACTAATCGCGTAGAATTTACGTATTCGTCCCATGTAGATAAACAGAAGTACCGGACTTTAAAAAGTTGTTGTTTAAGCGTCAGCCCTCTGTCAGAGCAAAAAATTCACGATAAATCAATCTTCTGAATAGGCCACTATTTAACTGATCTTTTAGCACGTTTGGGTAAAAAGCGCTCATCACTTAGAGATATTTGGACTACGACAGTTATTTTCAGAGCTCTCTTGTCTAAGCAAATGTACCTTCTGGGCATCCAAAGAACTCCACTCTCATAGAAATATGTCTGTACCAGCCCCACGGACGAATGCGCACAAACCGAGCTTTGATTGGTGGAAACAGACTATATTGCACAACACTGTTTTGATCCCTGTTTCCTGTAAAGTACTGTGAAAGTAACAATACCAGTCAAAACTTTGCATTTATGTTAAGAATTTTGCAATTATAAGGAAAGGGCTGACTAAAATCAATGCATGTTTAATCAAAAGAAATCCATTAACTTTAAAATTCTCATCAAAGATATCACAGTATCAAATTCGACCACACTAGTTCGCCTCCATCTCGACAAGGTCTCCCCGAATCTTTTGACTCGTTTCCTTAAGGCAGAACCTGTCCCTGAAGAATCCGACACACTTATGTATCGCTCTGACGAAAGGAGTCGAGTTGAAGACTTGGGGGCGAACGGGGAAAGGCCGGGGTGAACTTGTCTCAATTGATGAGGCGACTCATTTCCTCGAGAGTCTTTTTATTCTTGGATGGGAGGATTGGTTGGGTTAGTTAGCAGCTATAAAACAAGGCACAGACTTCATTTCCAATTTGCAGCACCTGCAACAGAGCTAATCCGAGACACACGGATACCTACAACATTTCATAAAACCTGATCTGTTTATTACCTTTCGGTTGCTATTTTCCTTGTAGTCAGTGAACGTGGAACCATCTTGGCTGTACTCTACAAAGTATTGCGTGACCCACTGTGCGGCATCCTGTCTACCTTGCGTAGATATCTTCGCCACGCGCATGGCTCGATAAAAGTCTACCGCAAGCCACTGGTAGCGGGTGTTGTGCCTGGCACACCAGGCTCCCATACGGGAACCTGTTCGGCGGAAGTTTAGTCGGGCATTGCGAGGACCATGATTAACATCCCAGCTCGAAGAGGCTGATAGTTGGGTTTGCCGAATGCGGCCATTTTGCATACCGAGTGGTTTGTCGCATCTTGGACCTAACCGAGGAAAATTTCAGGCATGAGGAGACTGCTACATTATAATAAGGAAACAAATACACACATCTGTTTTCAAATGTTTTCTTACTCTTTTCCTGACTTTTCCTTGGTATAAATAAAAACGCCCTTAATCAGATAAAGACAAAATATAACATACTGTGGTAACGTTCAGCCCCCCCTCCGCACCCCCCTTACAACAGACCAAAATTTCCACGAATCGCGGAAAGAAATTTTGAGCGCGACAGAAAGCAATGTAATGAAACCGAGAGAAATGGATGTTTTAAAAAGTTCGAATCTCACATTTTCCTACGAGTATTCCACTGAAATTTAGTTTTTCCAGATTCCAACGAAATTCACTCATTCCTTGACCTTGAAGAGTTTCTTCTAACTTTTTTCTCATTTTAACAAACACTAAATGTATAATACAATTTCTTTATTCATTCATCTCTTTGTTGATATAAACGTCTTATCTTTCCCCTATTGAATTTGCATTTTTGCAGGCTAAACCACACTGGAGAGAAAAAAAAACTCCAAAACGTAGGCCTAGAAAAACCGCAAAAACTAAATAAGAAAATTAAAGTATCAGAAAACTCAAGCAGAAAATATATTCCTCTCAGAGCATCTTTGTTATAAGATATTTATAATTATTTTATACCTACCAATAATACAGCCATAAAATTCCACTCTCATTGAAATCCAGCTTCGCCAAGTAACTGGATGAATCCTAAAGTACCTTCCAGACAGTGGCCTCAGGAATCGATTGGTGACAACCATGTATCGGTCATAATTGCCAGCGAATATCTATACAGGGGGAGAAACAAATTTGCCACCGTCACTAAGGCTTTTGGAAAATGGCTTCTCACCAATAAGTAAACTTACTATTTTGCATATCATGAGCGATTTAGGAGCAAGTATCAGGTGTATGCCGGGTTTGCATTGGCTTTACATTACTCTGCTTTGCGATTAGTCTAAAAAAAATTTTCGCCACCCTCCTAACCAATCAGAAGCGAATCTAGAACTAACTGACATTTAGCAAGCGGCGTTTTCCCGCGCTTCAGGCACACTGCTTATTCTGTCGTACCTTTAATGTATAGCTAAGGCGGTTTTAAGTCCGAAACAAAATGCCTTTTTATACAGGATTCAAACTAGTGTACCTTAGTACGGCGTCCTTCTCTATAAGGTGTATAATGTTGACCATCTCGGCCAAAAGTTATATAGTAACTTGTGACCCATTGATCTGAATTTTGACGACCTTGGGTAGAAACACGGGTTACTCGAGTAAGTCCTCCAAAGTCGAACTGAAGGAACTGTCGTCTATCGCTTCTTTTTGCGCACCAAGCTCCTCCAAATCTTCCGACTCGTCTCTGGTGGAGCCTGGCGTTTCTTGGTGCACAGTAGTAGTTGTAAAATGAGGAAGCAGTGATGAGCTGGTCGGGGAAGCGACCATCTTCAACGCCGAGTGGTACATCACAACGGTCTGAAGAAGAAAAAAAGGATTAACATATAGTTAATTCAGAGTGTTAGCAGTAAATCAAAAGAAGTAACAATCTGTGTATGAAAAAATCTGAAGTTAACGCGAATTCAGTGGAAATTTGGAAGATACCCCACGGATTGAAGATAGTTTTGGCAGGCCGTATTGGTATAGAAAATAACTGAAGGTTGACGGTCAAGTATGGCAGTTGCATATATAGCGTTCTGTTATTTTTTCTAGAAACTTAATTTAGACATAACGCATACTAAGTTCTCTATAGAAAGACACTATCACACGGTTGTCATGAAATATACTATCATGCATTAGACTTACTTTACTAACTAATCATTAAATTCGGTTTTCGCATGATATCATGAATTATCACACCTCGTATCTGTGTTATCTGCCTCAGCCCTCGGCTTTGGAAGATAACTTGGACCCCGGTTTTGATAGTTCATGATAACATGCTCAATCTCATCCAATCATTGCTTATCACATTCCTTTTTCGAAACATTTACAGGAGAGAGTAGCATCTAACATTTACAAGAGATTAGAGTTTTTCCAAAAACTACATGGCAAACAGACTTACTCCATGGACAACCGTACAACTCAAGCCTCATTGAAATGTGTGATCGCCAGCCGCGCATTTGCAGTCGAACAAAACGTCCATAGATGGGGTACGGCAGAGGATTGTTGCGTATGGAATATCTGTCCACATTGGCAGGGAAAGTCTATGAAAAAAAATTATTTTCACGGAATCAATTAATAAGAGCATCTTTCCTTACAACGACATAGAGTGGTACCTTCACGTAGATTTCGAGACGAAAAAAAGAAGTTTCATCTGTGGATTTTCTAATGACCAAGAGGGAGTTAAAGCACACACGTCAGTGTTAGATGTATGGACAATGACCGAAAGTTGGGAGTTCTTTTCTCTGTAACCTTTTGTATGTGACGTTTAGTTTAGAAGGCTAAAACAAGGCATGTCCGATTTTTTATTCGGCATCAAAGCGCTTCAGACGTGAGGCTCTGTACTTTTGGTCGCCGCTCGCGTCTTATGCCTGTGTTAATGAGCCACCCACCTAACCTTTACCTTGAGTCTGAAAAATCACACGCCTACATTTCTGTCCCACACTTCCGGCACAAAATCACCTGAAGCTTTTGAAACCAACCCTCCGTAATTGTTTTGCCTGGACTAGATCTTTTAGTGCATATATTGTGTACCCCAAAATCCTGGGACACAGAGGAAACAGCGATGACGCACAAAAGAGATTGTTTGCCCCGTGACTTTCGCAATTGGTCGCGTAAAGGTTCTAACCTTCCACCTAAACTCACATAGGGGTCCATTGTTTCCTTGCATACTTTATGGGGAATTCGTTTCAATTCCAAAGCTTTTTCCAACACACAAAAATAAACACAAATAACACGATAGTTTAAACTAACGCTCACCTTCACCACATCCCACCAATTCTTAACCTTAGCAAACTTCACTCCGTCCGCGCTGTAGAGAACGTAAAACGCTGTCACCCATTGTGCAGCTTCATATCTGCCTTGTGTAGCCAAACCAGTGACCTTCATGGACCTGTGCAGATCAACTTGAATCCACTGATTGTAGTTGTTCTTCTTAGCAGACCAGGCACCCATCAGTCTGCCACGGCGCATGTTCCCAAGTCTGGCAAGCCAAGAAGCATGATTTTTGTCCCACTGAGATGAGGCTGTGATGGCTGCATTTTTGATTCGGCCACTTTGCATACCTAGAGGTCTGTCGCATACATATTCTGGCAAACCGAAAAGAAACAAACAAAGAGATGTATAAACATTTTCTCCTTATTTTGAAGGGTTAAAGTAGATGTCAAGAAGATGACGAATTCCCTTAGCCTTGATTTAGAGCAGGAAAAAAACCTCAATCGCTTCATGCTTTTCGCAGCCCTACAGTTTAACTACTCAGAGTTATATTAATTACTTTTCTTCTCTCCCTCAAATTCAACTCATACCTTCACCAGCAGAAATCATCTTAAGTCTTAGAATCATCTCCAACATTAAGTCGCTTTTGTTTTCTTACAATAAATAGGATGTCAACAAAAGTATCTTTTGCTGATTTGCCAGATGAGACATAAGCAATCGTGTTTGCAGTGTTCAAATGTTTACCTTTATATCGGCACCCATACAACTCCACTCTCATGGCAATATATGACCTCCAAGTCTTGGGATGAATCCTTATATACCGGGCTCTAATGAAAGGTGATACTCTCTGGGCAACAGTATGGTAAATATCATAGTTTCCACGGAATCTCTGCGTGAAAGTAACCACGAAGCATACGAGGTAAGTAAGTCTGACATTGGTTATGTCTTCTTATTATAGACACAGTGAGCTATTTCACCCGTTTTCAGTAATACATAACGAATACCAGATAACGTATAACGTTTAACAAATACGTTCCCTTAGCCAAGCAGAAGCGCGTGATTACGATCCCCACGATCACTCTTCGTAATGACGAACGTCTGTTGAAGCGAACGTCCGTTATAGCGAGCTCCCTTTTTTTAGCAAACCTCTGTTTTAACGAACAGCGCCCGACAGTTCGTTATTCTAAGATTCCCTGGCAGACCGCCGTAAGTTATCGAATAGTCGTAAGCCAACCACTTCAGACAAAAAGGAACAAACAAATATAAAGTTGTGTACAAGTTTACCTTTACTCTTCCACCAACTGCATAAGCTCTAAACCTTCGGCCATCTTTGCTGTATGAGACAACATAACTGGACACCCACTGATGAGCTTCTCTCCTTCCCTGTGTGGCGATTCCTTTGATGATACACATCTGCCTCAAGTCAATCTGAAGCCATTGCTTGGTGTTTCTATACTTGGCTACCCAGGCCCCTGTGCGGCTGTGACTGGCGTAGATGTTGAGACGTGATCGATCGGGGCCGTGGTTGTAGTTGTATGATGATGAAGCACGAAGATGTCCTGACAAGATACGGCGATCCTCCATACCGAGAGGCATGGTGCAACGGTCTGAAAAGAAGGGAAAAATTAACCTCAATTAACAAGTAAGAGCAACTCCACAACCGTGGCTAACAATCAGAACAACTAGATGCCACATTTCACAAAGAATTCATTCCATTACCACAAATGTGAAGTTGCTTGGTAGTCCCAAAAGCTTTATTTAGACAAGTACATGTATTTCTCAAACCGAAATAAGATTCAGAAAAAACTTGGGGCTGAATGCAATGTTCTCAGTTAGAAGAACGTCTGCTTCCTATGTGGATAATGTTGTTTCTTGCTTAAAAGCTTTTTTTTTCACCATTTTCGAACCAATTTGGAAAATACCTCATTCGTTTGCTGTAAACCTAAATATAATGAACACTTCTGCACCTGTGAAACATCCATAGAACTCAGCTCTCATGGAGATGTGTCTGTACCATCCCCAAGGATGAACCCGGATGTAACGACATCGAATCGCAGGATTAAGTGGGTTGTGGACCACACTGTTACGGTCTCGATTTCCGGTGAAGTACTATTGAAGGGTTAGGGAAAAAATGTGAATTAGCAACCTCTGAAAAGTAAGGCAGTATATCGTAAAAATTCACGTTATGCATGGACGCTAAGCAAGCAGAGGATAATCTTATGTTTGTGTTGTAAATCATTTACTTTTATTTTCTTTCCTCTATTTTTTCTTTCTTTCTTTTTCCTTTCCTTCTTCTCTTCTTTACAGTTTCTTTCCTCCTTTTGTGCTCTTTTCCTCTTTTACCAATTGTCGTCGAGCTAATGGTCGTTATGTCCAATTACTTGTTCAATTTGAACAATGTTTTCCCAATCGAATGCGGTCACGTAATTTCCCTGGGGCGCTATTTCTTCTCGCTGCATAATATCTTAATGATTACAAACGTTCAAACCTTCCTATTGTTTCTCTCCTTGTATTCCACAAAATTGACCAGATTCACACTGTACGTAATATAATACTGCGTGACCCATTGATCAGCATCGTGCCTTCCTTGAGTAGCTATCTTGATGATCTTGGACGGCCTTGTGAAATCAATTTGTAGATACTGGTATCTGTTGTTACTCCTGGCACTCCATGCACCCATGTACTTCCCAGCCCGCCGGCGATGAAGTCTCGCCAGGAAAGCAGCGTGGTATTTATCCCACTGAGAAGACGCTGTCATTAGGTGGTTTCTGAGGCGTCCGTTTTGTAAGCCCATTGGTTGGTTACACATTCGGCCTTGAGTAAAGAGTGAGAGAAAGAAGTAACGAAGTTATACAACTTCAATGGCCTTTAGCGGGGGATATGCACAAGGTAGGTATGTCGCATGGTTCTAAATCAAATTGGAATTTGGAATTTAGGTTTTATAAGAAAGTAACACTGGAGGAACTGTTGAATAACTTTCGGAGCAAGCAAGAAAGTCATCAACTAACTCAACCCGTATGTGACACCAGGTCCTGAAATCAGACTCAGGCTTCTGAGGTGAAAACTCAAGTGACCATGTCGTGATTGGTTTCTGTTTCGCACATACCTGGCTGATAAACGTGACTCGAATTTTCTAGACCAATCATAAATCATAGTGAAGTAAAACCAAAGCAATCCTAGATTACCATTACCACTCAATTTGAAATAAGTTTGAGTCGTTGACATCTGACGCAATATTAAGTCATTTACTATTACCTCATTTTCTCCTCACCTAATCTACAGCCGTAAAGTTCAACTCTCATAGAGATGTATCCATACCAACTCCTGACATTGATTCGCACGAATCGAGCCACAAATGGCCTAAAGAAGCGATGGGTTACGACAAAATATCTCTCAATATTGGCCTGGAAGATCTGAAATAATGAAAAATGTTAAACATTTCTATGAAGTAACAATCTGTAATAAATTTTAACAACGTCACGAATATCTGAATATTTCAAAGGAATGATTCTTTAAAGGGATATCTCATAAGGAGGCACAGTAACCGAGTGGTCCTCAGTTCAAGTCTTCCGACCTGCTTTTCATTGGATTCGTTTCTGGTTACCCCAAGTTCATCTCCTCGAATGTGCTCTTTTAGTAGCTAAGTATCTGGCTTCCCTTTTCTTGCTGCAATTTCCAACTAATCTACGTTTATTTGCAATATTTGTTTCCATTACAATGACCCTGGGTACCCTTTTTTGAGGAAAAGAACCGTTATTATCAAATTTCTGAAACAGGACAAGCAACCAAACACATACATACATACATACATATACTTTATTTAAGCACGAAATTCAGTGTAGCTGTAGAGCTAATATCTTCGAGAAAAAAAATTAAATAAAAATATGCTATCTTACAATTTCAATATTATTTATAAACTATATACAACTAAAAGCTAAGAGAGAAAACTAAGAGGGAAACATAAATTGTAGACCTACTTAAATAATTCAATAGGATAATATAGGAAGGCTAGTTTCATACCCTTATCTTTCGCCCCTCTGTATAAGGCACGAACTTGTCACCCTTCAGGCTGTAAGACACCGTATAGGACTTCACAAACTGGTTAGCATCATATCGGCCCTGAGTAGCAACCCTCTTCACTCGACACTTCGTACCCAGGTCAATCTGTAACCATTGCTTATTGTTATTGTACTTCGCAATCCAGCCTCCTCGGGTGGAACCGTAATTCCTGGCCTGGAGCCTGGCACTCCAGGGACCGTAGTAGTGGTTATACATGGAGGATGCCGTAAGCATAGATGGAGTAACACGGCCATCTTGAAGACCGAGAGGAACATCGCAGGGGTCTGCAAAAAGATTTTCGCGTCAAATCATTGGTAAGATTTCTCTTTCAGAATTGTTAATCAAAATGAAGGGGTAATAATTCAAAGTTGGCGAATACTCATCGACAAGCTGACAAAATTACTAACCAGCTTTACATCCATAGATTTCCACCCTCATCGAGATGTGACTTCGCCATCCCCACGGGTGAATCTTAATGATTCGTGCATATATGGCGGGAGTCAAAGCTTGTATTTTGACGCTGTTTTGATCATTATTACCACGGAAAGTCTTAAAAAAAGAGAAAACACAAAACAAGAGTGATTTTATGCCAAAACATGAACGAAACGTTTAGCACAATAGTCAACTGAAACAGTTACACCTTGGCCTATCGAGGCCTGTGAACGAACAGAGTTGGATAAAGGGATGTAGCGTTATACTCCTCAGAACAGTCAGAAGTTCCAAGTTTTCTTTAATCGCTGTTTTGTTCCCATTTCTATGCTTTCAATTGGGGTTCGTCCTTTCGCTAAGCCTACAACTGCAGAATAACTCTTGTACCTCCTTCCACTTTTATGAAGAAGGTAAAACAGCATTGAATTAGGTCCGCTTGTCTAAATTTGGTTCTATCAGAATCTCACTCTTCGAAACCCCCTACCACCTTAACTTATAAACTTTCAATCCGTAAAAACGCACTTATTACCAACCAAGTGTACATTAAAAGCAGATTTCGAACATGTCACATTTCCCTACCATATCGTTGTTTTTGAAGCGATACATTTGCCAGTGTATTCCATCGACGCTGGATGACACTCTATAGTACGTCACCCACTGGGCTGCATCCTGTCTACCCTGAGTAGCTATTTTTGTGATCTTCATCAGCCGTCCAAAGTTCACCTTAAACCACTGATTTCTGTTTTTGTGCTTTGCGCACCAGGCCCCCACATATCTACCTCTCTTATGCAGATGCAGTCTCCCAAGTCTGGCTGCATGGTACACATTGTACTCGGACGATGCAGTGATTCTACTGTTACGAATACGACCATTCTGTAAACCTAGCGGAGTGCTACAGAGTGCACCTAGCAAAACAATAATATGCATGTCAACTGCTGCTTGTTCATTTTTTCATCGAAATAGGAAAAGGGGTAAGGGGAGAAGAACACCTTATATTGGACCTGTTGTCGTTACATTTCTCCATTGGTTTTCGGAAGGGGAAGACTGCAGTCCGTTTCATCGGTATCTACTCTATTTACAGAGAGGTTTGCTACAAACGTATATCTAAATTTCATTGCAAGCGATATTCCTCTTCTCTAAGATGAGAAAAAAAACCTTACTTGTGCAACCAAAGAGTTCAACTCTCATTGAAATCCAGCTGTACCAAGATTTTGGATGGATCTTCACGAAAGCAGCAGTGAAAGATTTCAGGAAACGATGAAACACAATGGAATGTCTGTCACTATTACCAGAGAAGACCTGAGACATGAGAAGGTCGTGAGAAGGTTATAAGCAAACATAAAGAAATAATATGCCTTTCATCAAGATAGCGCATTTCGATTGAGTGTCGTAAAACCAAAATTACAAAGACTACAAAAGCTACTCAGAGGAAAGGAAATATATAACAGCGATACGATGAGAGTTAAAAGTAAAAGTGCGCAAACTGCTCAAAGCGCAAGAATTTCGCGAAAAACGTGCGTGACAAAGCTGCGATTAGTTTTGGTTTTTAACCTGATTGGTTGAGAGGATGGCGCGAGTTTTCTAGCCAATCATAGAACATAAGAAAGTAAAAGCTATGTTATCCTTGATTACTTTCGACACCCTATTGAAAATTTTTTCTTTCTATGCCCGGTAATCTGAATTGTATAAAGAAAAATAAATTGTCCAAACTTCAGTACAGATTTTACTCAGAAGAGCGAAAGTGATCTCTAACTCAAATTAAAACTCCGCTGAGTTGAAATTGCACTAGTCCAAGGTCAAGAAAATTGAAGTAATTTTTTTGTGGAAAGAATTATTTCCATTCAACAAGAAACGCTGTATGCTCAGAATTACAATTTTAATTAAAATCGGAAACTACAGCAACTCCAAAACGATCAACTGCAAAATTTCACCCTCATCATCCATATTTTAATAAAAACTCACCTTAATGCGCCTGTTTTCCGCGTAAGGCACATAACTAACACCATCACCACTGTATCTGACAATGTAGGTCTTTACCCACTGATTTGCATCCTGCCTTCCTTGGGTCGCTATTCCTTTAAATCTTGTTACGTAACCAAAGTTAACCTTGAACCATTGGTGAACATCTCTGCGCCGAGAACTCCATGACCATCTGTGGTTCAGTCGGCCATGCCATGGTGACAGGTGATGATTGTAGTAAGTAGACGCTGACAAAGACCCTGGACTGAGACGTTTGTCTTCTAGACCCAGAGGTATGTTACAGCGGTCTGCAAGGTAAAGGAGATTAATTGATCAAGTATTGAGAACGTAGAAGTGGCTTTCCTGACACTTTTGTAGGACTCAAAAGCTAAGTATGCACGGGAACGAACAGCCTACTACATTTTGCCACGCTTCCAACATGAGACTTCGTATCTCATTTGATTGTGGTACAAAAGTAGTATTTGGGAGGCCTAGGTTCAAATACTTTCAAACCAAAACAGCCAGATACATGAAGGAATATTACTAATAGCCTTAGCATAAAAACAGCTATCTCAAATTAAGTCCATAATTTTACTGATACAAAATACAAATTCGTCAGACCTTCAACACATCCATAGAACTCCACTCTCATAGAGATATGTCCATACCATCCCCACGGACGAACCTGAACGAACCGCGCTTTGATTGGTGGATAAAATCTGTGTATTACCACAGTATTTTGGTCTCTATTTCCCGTGAAATACTGAAAAAGAAACAAACAAAGTGGAGGAGGAAAAATAAATGTATATATAAGATATATAAGATTTTCGCTTGCAAAGTCATTTGGCCAACCATTCCACTTAACTGGCAAAAACGACGCTCACTTAGATATCATTTCTCCCCCATAAAAACCAAATTTTACCCAAGAATATTTCCCTTAAAAGGTTTTCCAATCAATTAACGACGATTATAGGATATGATTCACCGATAACACTGTATAAATATTCCCACTTTTTGCTGGAGTATGGTTGTCCGTATTAGAAAGTATGATAGAGAGATTGAAAAGCTCACGTAACATTTGAACCTGGGAGACATTTCGAACACAAGTCATGTTTATTATGGTTCTATTGAAGATAGTTTCTTGTTACCTTTCTATTGCTGTTCTTCTCATAGTCGGCAAAATGCGCGCAGTCTTGACTGTATCTGACGTAGTACTTCGTCACCCACTGACGTGCATCTTGTCTTCCTTGGGTGGCAATCTTTACAATACGCATGTAGCGTTTGAAATCCACTTGTAGCCACTGGTAATGATTATTGTGACGAGCTGACCAAGCGCCTGTTCTTGCACCGGTTCTTCGCCAATGAAGCCTGGCATTATTTGCTCCATGATTTCGGTCCCATATTGATGCTGCTGTGAGTTGATTAGCGTGAATGCGGCCATTCTTCATTCCTAGAGGTTTGTCACATCTCGGGCCTACGTTTTGTGAGAGAAAAGTACGAATTCGAGAATGCATGTGGTTTGCTTTCAAGACATAGGGGTTTTAATAAAAGCAAGTTACCGCTGGTCTACCGTACACGTTGTCGTTTGAACCTGCAAGCACTCTCTCGTGTTTGGGTTTCGCCATACGTCACCTTTTCGAGCACAGCCGCAAATAACACCATAGGCAGCCGCTTATGGAAGAAGTTATTGTATTGTTAACTTTGTTTGTAAGGTTCACCTTGATAGAGTTCTCTCTTTGAGAATCATACCAACTGCTTTATACGTAACGCATGAAAGAAATGCACCTTTTATTGTAAAACGGAGGTCTGTTTAAGGTTGTGAATTCTCAAAGATTTAGCTTCAATTTCAGATTATTTTCAATCCGTCTCGAAAGTTGTCTTTGGCTCTTTTTCCACTTCCATTTCGGTGCTTCTTCTTCTGACTGAATTCAAATTTTTTAGTTCTTTCAGTTGTAGGTAGTTTTGCAAGTCGCCTAAAAGATCTAAAAATATCGAGGTGCAACTCATTCAAGTTAATATAATGGATCTAGACGACACTTTGGTTATCTACACTCGATAGCTCTAGGGCTGTAAAGAGAGATGAGATAGTGTTATATCTAAGTGAATAACCTATCATAATATTACACAAGTTGTCGTACCAATGACGCAGCCATATAATTCTACTCTCATGGAGATCCAGCTTCGCCACGTGACTGGGTGTATCTTGAAGTAGCGTCCCACTATTGGTCGAAGGAATCGGTGTGTTACGACCACATATCGGTCAAAGTTGCCTGGGAATATCTGAAATGGAATAATAATAATTGCAGTTTACTCATATATTATTTCTTACAAATGTAATTAATAATTGCAATAGGAGACGGTTGCACAAAGAATAAGAACACTCAAAGTGTTAATTTGCTTTGCTTTTCATCAATCAGCTCTTTTTCATTTGCCCCTTCTATGCTTTAACTATCAAGATCTTATTTATAATTCTCCATTACAGAGGATTTGGCTTTGTATCATGGAAACGCCTTCTGTTTGATAAAATGTGCCCACTCTCGTCATCTGTTTGTTTACAACGTGTTGGTATTGCAAGGAGATGTTACATTTTAATCAATTTTAGGAGTTAAGGGGATAAAGTATTATTTCTCTATGAAGTAGATTGTTGTTTTTCTTCATATAGGCAGCAAAATGGAAAGATCTACTCAAAAAGAGTCAAAGTTTGAAGGCCTCGGTCGCACCACTCCTCCTTTTGTCCTTTCACCCCAATACCATGAAGTCATTTCTCTTATACACTGACAAGCCGACAAGTGATAATAAAGAACAATATGAGCTGGGAGACATTATTTGATTTCACGTCAAATTCTTCGAACTAACATTATAAAAAAGTGTGCAACAGAGAGTAGGAAAAATGACTTGTGGGAGAGATCGTCCCCCACCTGCCCTGATTAGAAATCTTACTGACCTTGGTACGTCCGTACTCTTTATACGTCACAAACCGGTATCCCTTCACACTGTAGGACACGTAATAACTTGTTACCCATTGGTCAGCATTCTGACGGCCTTGAGTAGCACAACGTGACACCCGTGTCAGTCCACCCATGTCTATCTTCAGCCATTGGCGTTTGTCGCTTCGCTTGGCATACCAGGAGCCTCCAAGCTTGCCAACGCGTCTCTGATGCAGCCTGGCCATTCTCGGTGAACCCCAGTAGTTGTAGTAGGAGGAGGCAGTAATGAGTTGATCAGGGACACGGTGGTCTTCCATTCCAAGGGGAACATCGCACTTACCTTCAAGAAATCAAAGCAAAAATGTGATAATATTCTAAATAAAGTTTCATGTAATAAGGAGTTTACCTATGGCTAAAAAACTGCCCCCATAATCTTCTTACCCTTCACCGTTATTGAAGGAAAACCTTCTTCTAGTTTCAATATTGTTCTCTTAAATTGAATTTACAATTTATCTTTCATCTTCATAATGGCTTAGTTTAAATCGTTCAGAGTTCCAACTTTCACAGCGCTGCGAGATAGTGAGGCAATGAGTTGAATCCAGAGCAACTCCAGGGCATATGTCTCCAAATTCAACACTTAAATAATTATCTCTTCGAAGAGGAAATTCAACGCTCAACAGAGATTAACCAACTTTTTTCTTCAAATTTTGAACATTGAAAGTAGTTTGTGCAAAGCCGATAAATAGCATTTCTATGTGACAAGTTGCTCTCATGTGGTCACATAGTCAGTGTAACGTTACACTTCTCACAAATTGTACAAGCTTATAATGTTCTTGACTTACTCCATGCCCCACCATACACTTCCACCCTCATCGAGATGTGTGATCGCCAGCCACGAGGATTGATTTTAATAAATCTTGCATAAAGAGGAGGGTTGAACGAGCGCGTTTGGACACCATTTCGATCATAATTTCCTCGAAAAGTCTAAAACACAATTAAGAAAAATATTTCACAGTGATATATTACTTTACGCAAAAAATACTTCCTTCGCAACCTTAAGTCTTTCTATACTAACACTAAAAAAAAAAAAAAGACAAAAGAGTAAAATCGTTTTGTAAATAATCCAATCTTAATTCGTGTTTTCAGGTTAGCCATTAGTCCAAATATAAAGCTTTAACTTAGGAACCGATTATGGTTCAATTGAGGTCAATTAGTTTTGCTTTTCATGACAATGGGTCGCGTTTATATGAGCAGAATACAAACATTTCCGATGGTCGATCATTGACACTGATCGTCTACGGGCGACTCCCTCCTGTGACAGTGACAGAGTGACGTTCATGCGATTCTGACGTAACCAACAACATTCCTTTTAAGGCCTAAACCCAGACGAACTGACCAGACGAACGACTTTTATTCCAGTGTTCAAACAGGTAACTGAACTTGAAAATGTACAGTTCAACCACTAACCTTTATAACATCCCACCAGTAGGTGACTCGAGAAAAGCGTACTCCATCCAAACTGTAGTAAACATAATATGCTGTCACCCACTGGTCTGCATCTTGGCGTCCCTGTGTTGCCATACCAGTCACCTTGGTTGGTCTGCCTAAGTCAATCTTCAGCCATTGATTGTGGTTGTTATGGCGGGAGGACCACGCCCCAATGTACCGTCCTTGTCTGGGGATGTGCAACCGGGCTCGGAATGGGGCATGGTATTTGTCCCATTGGGATGAGGCAGTGAAAGCTGCATTCTTTATTGTACCTCTTTGGAGTCCTTGGATTCGGTCACAGAAACGTTCTGAGGAATGCAAATGAAATGAAACGAAAACTAAGTAAAATAAATTGAAGTTTTGAGGACAAATTATATCACAGTTTTCAGTTGCTTTCTATAACGTTGCACGTAATACGTTGGTAACTTCACGTAACGTTCGCCTATTTCTTATACTATTCGATTTTTCCTCTAATAACTGAACTGAGATAAACTGACGTTTTAAGAAAAACTTATATCACTTCTCAAGTCACGTCTGTAAGTTGTGTCTATCACGCCGCACGCTGCATATTCGCAACGTAGCATTTCCGATGTGTTACTCGGCGTTAGTTACCTTTTTATAGAGTTTATAATACAGGAATTTAAACCTGGCATTGAGGGCAAAATCTGCCTGGTGTAATCTTATTCTCTTTAAACGTACCCTTGTATCTGCATCCATACAACTCTACACGCATTGCGATGTAACTGCGCCAACTTCTAGGATGAATACGAACAAACCTGGCCTTGATCGCTGGGATTATCTTGTATGAAAGTGTGTGGTAGATATCATAGTTGCCGCGGAATAACTGTTAAAACAAAGAATTTTTAAAAGAAAATACAAATATGAAAAAGTGAAAGGTTTTAAGACGCTACGGTGAGGTTGAGATTGTAAAGATAAGAATCAGATACATACATCAATCTGCAAAGATCTTCCAAATTAATTACCTTGGCTAGAAATATTCATGAAAAATTTATTGCACGTGATGTCTACGAAAATCGATACGTTTAGGTATCGTCCAAAAATCTTGTCACATCTTTAAAAGATGTATTAATAAACTAATGGCGGATAACAAAGATTAGTTTCACTGATACAAGCATAGCCTGGAGAAGAGAGTAAGCCAGAAGTCAAAAGGTACATTGAAATATAATTATGTTCATGATGAGGAGTTTTTGACGCAGAAGCATCCACAATGATAGTCAGAATAGGTATCATTGATTAAGACGTTATACAAGTCCATGTAACAAGAATTTGATATTTCAATATCAAAGAAAGCTAAGAAAAGTTGACAAGTGGAGAAATTATCATATACTTTGATAAACCATCTCACCATCTCACCTTAACCTTGCCATACGCGACATATGGTCTAAAGCGTAGACCTTTTGCACTGTAGGAGAGTGTATAACTCTTAACCCATTGATGGGCTTCTCTTCTTCCTTGTGTAGCGATTCCTTTAATGATACTCATTATTCTTAAGTCGATCTGCAGCCACTGATTAGCGTTCCGGTACTTTGCTACCCAAGCTCCTGTTCGTCCATGTCCGTTATAGATATTTAGTCGTGCTCGGTCAGGTCCGTGGTTATAGTTGTACGACGACGAGGCCCGAAGATGACCCGACAAGATGCGATGGTCCTCCATACCAAGAGGCATGGTACATTTGTCTATGAAGGTAAAAACAAAAGTTAGTTTAGATGATTACGTTTTAAAAATTTGCTATGTTTTTCCAGTGGAAATAAGAAAACCTTTTTATTCATTTTACCTGTTAGACATCCATAGAACTCAAGTCTCATGGAGATATGCCTGTACCATCCCCAAGGGTGAACTCGAACATAGCGACATCTAAGCGCAGGGATGAAAGCGTGACTAACAATAGTATTCTGATCACGGTTACCTGTAAAATACTGGACAGAGAAAAGTAATGAAACGACAGTTAGAACATGCGCATTTTGGGGTTCGTTCGGAAGTATTTCGGAGCTTCCGTTCGTTCGGAAACATTTCCGAGCTTCCGTTTGTTCGGAAGTATTACCCAGCTTCCGTTCGTTCGAATATATTTTCGAGTTTCCGTGCGTTCAAAAGTATTTCCGAGCTTCCGCTCGTTCGGAAGTATTACCGAACTTCCGTTCGTTCGAAAGTACTACCAAGCTTCCGTTCGTGCGGATGTATTACCGAGCGTCCGTTCGATCGGAAGCACTGACGAGCGACGCAACAACGTAACAACAAGGAAACGGAAAGTACCTAGGGGAGGATGACTGGCACCAAATTAAGAGTGCTCGTCTATCACTTTTGTGTTAGGGGGGCTCAATTACCGAACCTTGCGTCAAATTTGAGTTGAAATTATCTCTTTATCTCGTCCTTATTGAGAGCTAACAGCGTTTAAACTGCTCCGACAATTTTCTTCTCCCTTCCTCAAACGAGAAGAAAACAGACCTAAGAACTCTGATTCGGCCTGAAATCTGTAGAGCAACAGAAGCCACGTATCTTTGTCACTCTTACAGTATGATGCTCAATCAAGGCTAACAAGAGCAACATATTGTGAAATGTTCAACTACTTTGATATTCCTTCTTTTACTTACCTTTATAGAATTTCTCTCTTGATAAGGCCTAAAATTCACCGCATCCAAGCTACGTGTCACGTAATACTGCGTGACCCACTGATTAGTGTCCTGTCGCCCTTGGGTGGAAATCCTTATAATTTTTGCAGGTCCAGTGAAGTCACATTGAATCCACTGATAACGGTTATTGTACTGTGCAGACCAGGCTCCGATCCATCTGCCATGGCGACGGATATTAAGCCGCGCTCGATAAGGACCATGGAAGTTGTCCCATCGAGATGATGACGTCATGAGATGATTTTTCAATCTGTTGTTCTGTAACCCCATTGGCCGATTGCACAAGTGACCTGTGTTTCCAAAAGAAAGCGGTTACTAAGAAAAGTGTTGAATCAGAGTTTGTCACTATGCAAGAGCATAAAATATTATACCATAAAAAACAGTGCAACTGGTAAACAAAGGCTAAATAACAAAGACTTAAAAGTACATGAGCAAAAGAAATAACAAGTATTTGTATAAGGCGACAGAAACTAAAAAACCACGCAAACCACATTTCCTGTCACTAAATATGACAGCCACAACGTTTAATAAACTACAATGATGTCCCGTTGTGTCGGGACCCGCGGAACATTCTGAGGTTCCCGGTGTCTAGACACATTCCCACCCACTGACCCACAGTACTAACTGCTCTTTTACTAACAATATCCACATCCAATGATAATTGTTTCTGAAGTCGCAAACTGATTATTAATTTCTGCTCCGTTTTCTTTGTAAAACAAGATCGTATCACTGTGTTACATACCCAGACGGCATCCGTACAACTCCACCCTCATGGCAATGTATCCATACCAGGACCTTGGCTGAATTCGGATATAACGGGCCCTTATGGCTGGGCGGAGCTTGTGCACCACAACAAAGTATCGTTCAGTGTTTGCTTGGAAGAGCTGTAAACACAAATAGTTCGGTTGTAGTACAGTCACATTGAAGAAAAGGTTGAATTTTCATCGATCGTTTTGAAAACTGACTAGGTTCGAGGGAACTATTCCTTATGGGAACCCAGGAAAATTTGAAAATTACAATGATACGCTTCCGCTTTCAGTTAAAACGTACAAAACAGGATGTATATAGCTGGAAGGAAATATGAATTTGTTCAATAGAATAAAACCACTTACCCTTGTTCTTCTTGCCTGCTTGTATGGGAAAAATCTGACTCCATTGTTACTATAGGATACAGTGTATGATGTAACCCACTGGTTTGCATCATATCGAGCCTGAGTCGCGATGCGTTTCACAATGGACACTGTTCCTAAGTCAATCTGCAGCCACTGGTGAGTGTTACGGTACTTAGCGACCCAGCCTCCTCGGAAGGAGCCATGATTCTGAGCCTGCAGTCTTGCGCTCCAAGGACCGTAGTAGTGGTTGTACATGGAGGAGGCTGTGAACATAGCGCGTGTGATGCGACCGTCCTGGATACCAAGAGGAACATCACAGCGATCTGAGGGAAAATTAAGACATTATTAAGACATATTATCATTTTTGGTAACTGGATACTGACAAATGAAAGTTAAAAACCAACTAAAATCCAAGTTGTAAACAAAACTAAAACACTGTGCCTTGACAAACTTAACCAAAGGAAAGTGTATACGTCATAATCTTCGAGGTCGTTATTTACAATAGTTTCAGTTTCTCCCATCCTCATCGCCCTTGTTCATTTTTGCTATTTTCATTCAATTTTGGTACTTTTCTTCCTTCCAAAACAAAGATTTAGGATATTGTCTCTTTCATGCTCCAGGCGAGTTTTCACCTCGCAGTAAAATGTATACAAAAATTTTAAATCACATTTATTACTAACCAACTGGGCATCCATAAAATTCGGCCCTCAAACATGGCCAACCGTGCCATCCACGAGGATTTAGACGTAAAAATCGACATCTTATGGAAGGATTGATTGCATTCATCACGATAGTGTTTTGGTCACGATTGGCTTGGAACAGCTATTTGAGATAAGATCATTAAAATCAGGCATACAATATCTATAAATAAGAACAGGAACTCTCGCTAACCCATTGGTCTACAGCTATTATCGAAAGCAGAACCTATCAAAACTTTTCCTTGTAAACTCTCATTGATCGCAGAAATGACGTAGAAATGCTCAAAACTAATAACGTTAAACCCGCAATGGGCGCAGCCAGTCAAAACACAATTAGGCTAGTAAAGTTACTATAAACGCGCTAACTGTCATAGTAGAGATGAAAACTATATACTTGTCCTTTAAAAAAGATGTGACCTCACCTTGTTAGAGCTTCTGAAGCGATACATTGCCCAACGAACGTTGTCTATGCTAGATGACACATAGTATGACGTCATCCAGTGACCAGCATCCTGTCTTCCTTGTGTGGCAATTTTGGTTATTTTCATCAGTCGACCAAAGTCCACTTTCAACCACTGAAGATGATTCCTGTGTTTTGGGCACCAGGCCCCAATATAACGGCCAGTCTTCACTCGCCCTAGTCTACCAAGCCAGGCAGTATGGAAACGGTTAACCTCTGAAGATGAAGTGATTTGGTTGTTTCGAATACGACCATTTTGCATTCCCAAGGCACGGTTGCACAAAGATGCTGATAAAAGAAGATAAATAAAGTTTAAATGCATTCCTGATTTGTCCTTGATAAACTTCGTGATGATTACGAAGTCTCGTTGGGGTGTCAAGCAAGGTGTTCTGTGACAGACCAAAAATGTTTAATAGAAAATAAGCCATACAGTTTCTTTTCGGAAATTAAGCAAAAAGCCATATTGACATTTTCCATACACCAATATATCATCCCATTAAATTCCTCCTTTCAAAAGCAAAAAACAAGTAAACAAACAAGACTGACCGAGTTTGTGCATTTTCATGTGTACAAGGTTAGTCCTTCTTCGTTGCAAATCTCCCATATTATTTTTTGTGTGTGTGCAAATGAAAGGTACACTGTTATTCTTCCAAAACCCGTGCGCAAAAGTTGAACCTTATCCTTCTGAAACTCAGAAAAGCGAGTTTTACGTAGCCCATTAAGCCAATTTTAGCTCATTCGTCTCTTATTTTAAGCGACGGCTTCTTCAAATTTGCTGCCCAATCAGTTTTGAATGATTTATGATATCGTCTCATTCTTCCCGATGACCAAACAGTAAACACAACATTTGTTTCGTAGGTTTTCTAATCTAAGTGTACCTGAACAGCCATAAAACTCGGCTCTCATGGAAATCCAGCTGTACCAACTCTTAGGATAGATGCGGACATAAATGGCTGAGAAGGGTCTCATGAATTGATGATAGACAATTGAGTGCCGATCCGTGTTGGCAGTGAAGATCTGCAAAAAGACGTCCAAAAATGGAAAGAAGACAGTGACGCAGTTGCGTAAGGGAACGACATTATGACCAGAATGCAAAATTAAAGTGAACATTTTACTGGTAAATTTAATGCTTGCAGCTTAAGCGCTTGCAGTTTTTAGGATTTAACAACAGCAATAACCAAATCCTATCATGCTTTATAACATAATTAACTATTAGAACCATAAGAGTTACTAGCATTTATTTCCTACTTGGAGTATTACCCTTGAATTAAACATTAAAAGTCACAAGAAAAAAGAAAAAAATGATAGCTTGGTAACGAACCTGATGATTTTACAACAAAATCTCTTTACTGTTCTATGGGAAATGTAAAGAAAATGGTATAGAGATTATACATACTAATGTTAGAGTGTACAGGGTTAAGTCACCTACCTTGACACCACGGTTCTCCTTGTAGGGTATAAAATTCATTCCATCTGGGCTGTAACGGACTGAATATGCTCTCACCCACTGAGCGGCATCCTGTCTTCCCTGGGTGGCCACGCCTTTTATGCGCATCAGCTCTACAAAATTCACTTGAAACCATTCCCCAACCCGTCTCGTTCGCACACTCCATGACCAGCGGCTGTTTAGTCTGCCGTGCCAAGGAGACAAATGATGATTGTAGTAAGTAGAAGCTGTGAGATGACCATTTGGCACGCGTTTGTCTTCTAAACCAAGTGGCATAGCACAACGATCTGAAAAGTTTCCAGAAGAACATTAGTTAGCTTTTTTTCATCCTGTTATTTCATAAACTGAACGATCAGTTTTTACAAACCAGACTTATAACACTCGACTGACTTATAACTCTTCACTTGAGCTGAGTGTTGATAACTTCCGCTCTGATTGTCGAAACGTCAGTCACTACTACCGACAACAGTCCTACTTAAGACTAGTCTCACTCGGACGATTAGACTACACAATCAAATGTGAAAACCATTTACAGCATAAAGATATCACCGTTGTTTCTTGCGTTCCTGTCGTCAAATATTTTTAGGGTGGAGAGAATTTAGGCATACCATGTTAATATGAAAAGTGCCTAATATCTGAAAATGAAATACCGATTTTTGCATTCACTCCTAAAAAAAATGTACCTGAAACTTAGGTTGTAAAAAAAAGCCTCTTAGTATAGTATAGATCACCAAAAATAGTGTTGTATTTTCACCTTCTGTGCATCCATAGAATTCCACTCTCATGGAGATATGTCTGTACCATCCCCATGGGTGAACTCTGATTATGTAAGCTTTGATATTAGGGTAGAGACCGTGATGGACAATACTGTTCTGATCCCTGTTCCCCGTAAAATACTGGAAAAAAATGGTTTACGATTAATATCACTATGATACCTTCTAGTGAATAACAAACTATACAATTGCTCCAACTTGTTTAATACAGAAATTTCTGTAACTTTGACAACATTATTTGACTTCAGTTTTCAACATTATCCGCACAAAATAGATGAAAACAGAAAGAAAGAATACTTGTTTTTTTGTTTGTTTGTCTGTTTTAAAGCGAATGAGCCTACATGCTCCAAATCTATGATTTACTTCAGTGCGCACGTTCAGATACGGCCGTAAGTTTATTTATATTCTTTTAAAATGCAGGTTTTTGATCCGTTTTACCGATTTTGACACTGACTTGTGTCAGGAATGATTCAATCGTAGGTCGATTTTGAGTGAAATGCCTGAATTACAAGTACCATTAACAAGCTGTGGCTTAATCGACTGATTCAGAAGCATAACTGCATTTTTATTCGAAACTGAACTATTTCTCCCTAGACCAGACTCAAGGATTTAGAGAACCTAACATAATTGTTCAAAGTCAGCATTTTCCATTATCATCTTTTCGTTTTCATACACTTAATCTTAAGCTTAATAACCTGTCAGTCGGTTGGCCCTTCATGAGTCGTGGAAACAGCTGCTGTTCAATGTTTGTAAATCGAGGAGGTCTAATTACAACGCGTTGAACAATACAACGGAAAAAGATTGTAATGAAGTCGGGGCTAGTGTTGAATTTCAATCATTCGTTAATAAAAAATAAGGACTCATGTTTTTTACCATTCTTGTGCCGCAGTCATTTTCGTACGTTTAGTGTGTCTTATAAGAACGTTTAGCTTGGAAAGTTTTAAGCTAAACGTATTAGGCTTTCATATATATGTTATCACGTTCTCCTCAATCGCGCGAGAGTAAGTAATAAGTATGTAAATGAGCTTTGTTCTGACACTTTGACGTTCGAATTATTAGAGGAAATTTGAGCCAAGGGAAATTAAATTAGTTCAAGTTAATGGAGAGCTCGAGGTAGAGTTACTCAAGATAGAGTTACCCTTGTTCAAGTTAGCTGAGAACGCCATTTCGTAACGCAAATGAAGTCTTATATGACTGTAGCTTAAATTTTAATGCTATAGGAGTTTGCCTGATTTAGTTTCGCCTCCTTTTTTATCCGAGTCTGGTTTTTTTTTATTTGTAAATGAGAACTGTTTTTCAGGAATTTTACTATCTCTTTGTATTTTTAACCTTAAGTTCAAAAAATAGAACAAAGATGGTGATAGTTTTTTCACATATGTTGTCAAGAAGACAGTTTTCATTTAAATGGAAGTTAATCCTAATCAAACGTACATCTTAATCAAAAGTCCAAGATTGATATGCTTTGTTTATTCAGATGGAACCATTCAGTAGCGAGTGTTTTTCCATTAAGACCCAATAATTACAAAATGCAAAACAACATGATTAAATTGGAGAGGAAAGCACTATGAAGCTTTCTTTAATTGAGCAACTCTCCTGGAAGTGAATTCTGTTCTTATTGACAGAGGCACATATTTCACTCCGTAAGACTTACACAAAGTTCAAGTTTACTTCACAAGTGTCAAAAGGTGTTTAAAGGTTCTGTCAAAAGAAGAATACACCGCTTCCTTGAGACCTGACAGAGTAATATCCATCTCGTTGCCAAGAAATACAATGCCTTTGCAAGGTCTTAATGAGACTGAACATGACCATCAGCAAACGAACTGTTCTTACCAAGAGCTGCCTGCTGCAGTGGACAACTTCAAACTTTGTATGTACTGCTTTCTTTTGCTTGGCAGCCTTTTCGGAAATATCTTCATAATCATTATCGTTTACAAACACCGTGACCTACAAAAAACGGTGAACTACTTCATCGTGAACATGGCTGTGTCTGATCTCGTTTTTCCGTTGGCTTTGCTTCCCCTTGAAATTGTTTCAATGGCGACTGGTTCGACTTTAACGCGTTGGTACGTTGATGGGATCTTTGGATCGATTACTTGCAAGTCTATACATTTCGTTGCCCAAGTTTCTCCTGCCGTTTCTTCCCAAAGCTTCGTCTGGATAGCGATTGACAGATTTGTCGCCATTCTATTTCCAGTGAGACTTGGGCTTGTTTCAAGAAAGATACGAGTCATAGCTATTGCTTCTACTTGGATTCTGGCAGCCGCTATTAATTCTAATCATCTTGTTAGCCAGGATCTTCACATAAGAGACAATAAGACTTTTTGTGAAGTAAAATTGGTTTCCGCCATCACAGAAGAAACATACTTCGCAATATCTTATTATATGCAATTGTTTCTTAATACTTTCGGTTCTTTTTTTTTATCAGCAGTTTTGTACACAGCCATAGCTGTTTCGTTACATAAGCAAAGTAAAGCGCTGGCTAATTCTGGCCCAAATATTCAACGAAACGTATTCAAGAAGAGAAAAAGGGCGATTCAATTATCAGCAGTTACCATGGTGACGTATTACCTAACTGTTACCATACCCATGCTTTCTTATTTGCAACACAGAAAGGTTTTTCGATTTCCCTGCAACGTAATGAAAGTAGTGAGTTTTATGGGCGATCTTTGCCAATACGCATCGACTGTTATCAATCCCGTCATTTGTTTGTCATTTGTTCACAGCTATCGTCAAGGATTACGAAATATTTTATGTTATTGCTTCAGGACAAGGAGAGACGAGACAGGCAAACGAGAGCAAAAAACTCCAACAGAAATGAAGTCTTCATCTACAGCAAACTGCAGGAATCGACGAAATTGTAAAGTGTCTGCGAATAACGACGAAATACTGGATACTGCTTTGTAAATTTACAGACATTGTGCGCTTCAGTCGATCCGAGCATACCTTAGTCTAAAATTCTAAAGCAATTTCAGTGTATCCGATCTTAGTGTATTGTACCGAATAGACAACTTTAATGATATTGTAAAACATAGTGAGAGCCATCACAGTTTTTAGCTCTGTGATCGAATGAAATAAAGGTGTTATCATTTACCAAAAGCAAGGGACATGGAACAAAAATAAATTTTCTAACATTATCGGGCAATCACGACTCACTACTGGCGAAGAACGGAATTTGCTGCTGCAAGCGAGGAAATACTAGGATACTGCGGGCTACAAGTATTAAATCTTAAACTCTTAGACGTACCATGCATTTCATTTCTCCTCAAAGCGGTACTGCAGTAATTTCACGAGAAGAAAACCAAAGATCACCAACCAAAGAAGCTCTTAGTTGTTCGACAAATTATCCTTGTCAGTACCACAGGAAATGTATACAGAACAGTATAGGCCCAATAATGTTGGGGTGCAAAGCGTGAAAGGACTTCTTTTACCTTTGCCTTCACCAATGCCTTTGCATTTTTGTACTTAAGTTCGCTCGTCTAACGTTTATGTTCCTGCTGCAGTAAACGGAGCAACGAGAAAGCAAAACTAGAGCGAATTACGTACAAGGAATGAAAAATTTCTCAAGAGACAATGATCGTAGCGTGAGAAGGCAGCAGATCATAAAGAAACAGCAGCTGGATACAGGAATAAAGCAGCAAGACTACATGAGAAATGTCTTTGGCATTATCATCATTAAACCCCACCTTTCCCAACCACGAGGTATTATTATTATGAACTAGTTTGAACAAAGAATTGAATCGGCTGAAATGTCCAATGCTCGAATTATACCTACCATTAACTACCGGTAGCATAATCGACTGATTCAGCAGCGAAACTGCATTTCTGTCGAAACCGATCTCCTTTTCCCTTTTCCGGCCACATCCAGAGATTTCGGGGACCAAACATTGTTGTCCAATGTCTTCACAAACACAACTTTTTAAAATCATTTTACTTTCAGTATTATCAACATTTTTGTTTTATTACACTACATTTCAATAATCTTTCAGTCTCTTTGCCCTTCATGTGTCTCGAAAAGTAGCTACTGTGGATTGTCGGTGAATTAAGGGAAATCTACTCACAAATTAATTTGGAGACTTCATTGAAAAATACAACGGAAATGAATTGAAAATGTAGTGGAGACTTTATTGAACAATACAACGGAAAAGAATTGAAAATGTGAATTGAAAATGTAATCTAAATCAAATGTCCAGGCTCAATATGCTTTGTTTATTCAGATGGAACAATTCAGAAGTGGATGTTTATCCATTAAGATCCAATCACTACAATATGCAAAACAACATGATTAGATTGAAGGAAAAAGCACCATTCAGCTTGAACAAATATTTTAGTTGAGCTGTTGTTATTAACTGAGGCACACAACGAATTTCACACCGTAAGACAAACTCGTCTGTTCTAAATGACTAGGGACCGACGTTCAAATTTACTTCACAAGTGTCAAAAGGTTTTTCAAGGCCCTGTCGAGGCAAAAAGGTTATACCACTTCCTTGAGACCTGACAGAGTAACATCTATTTCGTTGCCACGAGATACAATGCAAGGTCTTAATGAGACTACACATGACCATCAGCAAATGAACTGTTCTTACCAAGAACTGTCCGCTTCCGAGGACAACTTCAAACTTATTACGTATTGCTTTCTTTTGCTTGGCAGCCTTTTCGGGAATATCTTCATAATCATCATCGTTTACAAAAACCAGGATTTACACAAAACAGTGAACTATTTTATTGTGAACATGGCTGTGTCTGATCTCGTTTTTCCGTTAGTTTGGCTCCCCGTAGAAATCGTTGCAAAGGCGAACAATTCGACATGGTGGCGTTGGTACCTTAGTGGGACCTTTGGATCGATTACTTGCAAGTTTATTATTTTCGTCTCCCAAGTTTCTTTTCTTGTATCCTCCCAAAGCTTCGTGTGGATAGCTATTGACAGATTTTTCGCCGTTGTGTTTCCAGTAAGACTAGGGTTTATTTCTAAAAAGATACGTATGATAGCGATTGCTTCTACTTGGAGTCTAGCTGCTGCTTTTTGTTTTACATACCTACTAAGTTTGGATCTTCGTAAAGAAGGCAATCACGCTTGCTGTAAACACACAACGTTCGTTTCCATTAACCAAAAATATTTCACAATATATCTTTGGTTTCAAACGACTCTCCTTTATTTTGTCCCGTTGTTTATCTCAACACTTTTATACGCAGCCATAACTTCTGCCCTACATAAGCAAAGTAAATCGCTGGCGAATTCCGGCCCGAGAATTCAACGAAACATTTTCGAGAAGAGAAAAAGAGCCATCCGATTGTCCGTTGTTACCATGGTGACATATTTCCTGTCCGTTTCACCAGCAATGCTTGTTCGCCTACATTTCAGCAGAGTTTTGCCACTTTCCTGCACCATGATTGAAGTGTTAAGAGTTACGGCAGATGTTTGCCATTACGCATCGACTGTCATCAATCCCGTCATTTGCTTGTCATTTGTTCAGAGCTATCGTCGAGGATTACGAAATATTTTATGCTGTTGCTTCAGAAAACAGAGAGATGAGACAGCACAACAAGGGCAAATAACCCAAAAAGAAATAATCACTCCATCTGGAGCAAACTACAGGAATCGACGAAATTGTAAAGTGTCTGCAAATAACGAGGAAACACTGGATACTACATTGTGAATTTACATATAACATGTGCTTAAGTCGACCCAAAGATACTTCATCTAAACATTTGGGTGCATCCGATCTTAACATTTTGATCAGAATAGAGCAGGAGAAAACCATCGGCGCCGTGTGGAAGCAGAAGATCATGAAGAAGATATCTACAAATAGATAACTGCTAAGGTCCCCTGACATCCAGCCATTGGAACAAGCTCTTAGCCAATAAGAAGACCCGTAGCTAGTACAGTGCATAGTTGATATGATAATCGCAGGATTTGACCTCAACACAGAGAAGGTATCTGCAACTAGATAACTGCTACGGTTCCCTGATGTCCAGAACTTAGAACCAGCTCTTAGCCAATGAGAAGACAAGTTGCCAGAACAGTGTATAATTGAAATGATAATCGCAGGATTTGACTTCAACAAAGTTTGAAAGAGAGATTTCTTTGAACCATTTTTATCTTATGATTCAATGGATGCATTAGTTACAGAAATTCTTAATAGCTTTCGTACTTTTCGCACAAATTTGAAAATAATATTACCTTTACAAGACGCAAAAGGTTCATGGAAAGCAATTAAATTGTGTGACACTTAAAGCATACTAGATGCTAAAAGGAGAGAAGTCCATACCTTTCGATTGCTGTTCTTCTTAAATTCTGCATAGTGTATTCCATCCTGACTGTATGACAAATAGTACTGAGTCACCCATTGACGGGCATCCTGTCGTCCTTGTGTGGCAATCTTCACCACCCGAGTGGGGCGACCAAAGAAAACCTGAAACCACTGGAGACGGTTGTTATGTCGCGCGCACCAGGCCCCCATTCGATGACCAACGCGGCGGAAATGAAGCCTGCCGTTGTTGGGTGCGTGGTTCTTGTCCCAGCTGGAAGAAGCAGTAAGTTGGTTTGCACGAATGCGGCCATTTTTCAGTCCTAAAGGCTTGTCGCATTTTGGTCCTTAAAACAGATAAAAAAGTTTTAGGAGTTTTGAATCAACTGATGCTACCTATGATTTACCCATTATTACTGATGCCCGGATGTAAGTGTACACTTACCGACTACACAACCATAAAATTCCACTCTCATTGAGATCCAGCCGTACCACGTGACTGGATGAATCCTGAAAAAGCGTGCTGTTATGGGTCTCGCCAGTTTGTGACGAACGATAATGTACCGATCATAATTACCCTGGAATATCTGAAAGACATAAGAGTAAATTAATTTTTAGGTTTCTGAGCAACATCATTTTAACACTTTATGGTTAAAATCAAGTAGGGAGATTGGAAAGAAGCGACACAACACGACAAACAAGTAAAAAACCTTCAGTTAAAACCATTTTTGTCTATTTTGAGAAACGTTTATTTGATTATTTTTTCAACCATGTTGATTGTCAGTGATGTGCACTGAGCAAGACACAAGAGTGACTCGCACCTAGTTTCCCTTTTCAATATCACTGCAGAATCAACATTATGGTACAAGAACTGATCACCAACCGAAGACTCTCTTGATTGTTCATAAAATTATCTTGGTCATTATCATAAACAATGTTCAGAGAACACTGTGAGGAATATACATACTAATACATCCAAAAGTATCGATTGTGGACCATTCAAAGATGATCTTACCTTAGTACGCCTGCCCTCTCTATAAGGTGTGTACTTATACCCATTTTTACTGTACGATATGTAATAACTCGTCACCCACTGAGCGGAGTTCTGTCTTCCCTGAGTGGCAACACGTGATACTTTGGTAGCCGCGCCAAAATCTATCAGCAGCCACTGACGTCTGTCTCGTCTTTTTGCGCACCAGGCCCCTCCGTATCGGCCATAACGTCGTCTGTTAAGTCTACCATTAAACGGGCTGCAGTAGTAGTTGTAGAACGATGAGGCGCGCATGAGTGGATCTGGAACACGGCCGTCCTCTACACCGAGTGGCATGTCACAACGATCTATGAGAAATACGTGTTGTTATCAGTTAACAAGAATGTTCAGTGTCAAAACGAGACTGGCTGGTAGCTTGCAGAAACAATATGGTATCAGTATACCTTCATATCGAACCCTATTTGCTGTTACGCCTTATAGGTTGCCTTTGAAAAAAGGTCTGACCGTAAATCTTGACTACTGATACACTTGATAAAACAAATTAAAGGAGCCCACGATACGGAACCTCAGTTTTTTCCCGCTCAGATTTATGGCCTGAGCACGAAAAAACTCTGGCCGTAACTTACAGTACGGACATTGAACTCGTAATAAGAAGTACGTAGGTTGCAAAACTTACTCCATGGTGCTCCATACAATTCCAGTCTCATGGAAATGTGGGACTTCCATCCTCGTGGTATCACTCGAACATATCGGCCGTACAGTGGTGGATCAATTGGATGTGTTTGGACAGACAGTCGGTCTCGATTGCCTTGGAAAGTCTATGGAACCGAAGAAAATCGTGGAAGTATTGATAAATATTGAAAAACGTACAAATGCCTTTAGAGAGAGCTGAGAAGAGAGAATCAACCGCTATTCAGGTCACTTGCAACACGATAAATGATGAGCTGATTGAGCTTTTTTGATTGAGTTTTGGCCTAACAAAAGAGGCGGTAATGATAACCGCTATTGTCTCAGACTGTTTAACAAACCTTTGACCTTGCAGGATCTAAAAGCTAACTCTACTAAACAGATAACCAAACCCTTGGTTGGCTGGTCCTAAAAATTTGATTACATATCCGCATAATATAGCCCCAGCTGATATTGTCAAAATTTTTGATTCGTTTACGGTATATCAAAACTGCAATTAGCATTTAGAAAATGATTACTGTTGTACCTTAACATAATTCCACCAATGCTTTACTTTGGCAAAGTTGACTCCATCCGCACTGTAATACAGATAGTACGCCGTAACCCACTGGTCAGCGTCGTATCGACCCTGAGTAGCAATTCCCGTCACCTTCATTGACCTTCCCAGGTCTACCTGCAGCCATTGGTTATGATTATTGTGTCTAGAGGACCAGGCCCCAATAAACCGACCTCGACGCGGACGATGAAGTCGCGCCAACCAAGGAGAATGGTTCGCATCCCACCGAGACGAGGCTGTAATGGCGGCATTTTTGATTCGATTGTTTTGAAGGCCAAGAGGACTGTCGCAAAATCGTTCTGGAGTAAATGGACAAGACAATTTCCTTGAGGGGACACATTGCTGGTACATTTGTGTGTTAAATAGCCTTTAATTTTCAAGCGTGACAAACAAAAGTTTCACAGAAATGTAAAATGGCTTTTGAAAATCTTTTTGAATTTTTTGTACGCCTCTGATCTAAAATGAATAAAATCCTAAGAGTTTTTATCTCTTTATAGTCTTGAAATTGAATTTCTTATGAGTTAAAATGAATGTTAATTCTTAACTGATATGCTTGAGCCTTACCGCGCAGGCGACATCCATAAAGTTCCACACGCATGGCTATATAGCTGTACCACGACTTTGGGTAAATTCGGACAAACTGTGCTTTTACTGCTGGCATGATCTTGTGCCCCACCGTATGATAAATGTCGTAGTTACCTCGGAATACCTGTAGAGATCACAGATAAGTATCTAAAGCCACAAACTAAACGCTCATGATAAGAAATTCAGTAAACATGTTGCATTTGGCATCTGATTTCTCTCCAATTTGCCACCTTCAGTTCTATTTATTTTCACACATTTCATCAAACTGTGATCTTTCTGTACCCCAATATAGGAGTGACTCAAATCTAATTTATCTTTACAGTATTATTTCTGAATCAAACATTAAGGTCACGAGAATAAGGAAAAATGATCACCAACATAAAGAGTTCTTGACTGTTAAACAGAATCTCCTTATCAGCCCTGTAGATAGTGTATGGAGAACATTATGCAGAATATGCATACTGATATAAGGGTGAAAGGTCTTAAGGATAGTTTTACAGGCCGATTGTTCGTACCTTAACTCTTCCGTAGGATACATAAGCCTTGAATCTCATTCCAAAGCGACTATACGAGAGTGTGTAACTTCTCACGTATTGATTAGCTTCTCTCCTTCCTTGTGTAGCGATTCCTTTTATGATACTACTCTGGCCCAAGTCAATCTGTAGCCACTGGTTGGCACTTCGAAGCCTGGCTACCCAGGCCCCTGTTCGTCCATGACCATTAATGATGTTCAGACGCGCTCGGTCGGGTCCGTGGTTGTAGTTGTACGACGACGAGGCACGAAGACGACCCGATAGGATACGACGATCTTCCATACCCAAAGGCATAACACACCGATCTTAAGAGCAAAACAGAGACAAAGTAAAAACTTCATATCTCGCCAAAACGTTTCAGTATTTTTCCAACTTTAAGTGAATTAAATTTAAATGATGCTCACCTGTGAAACAACCGTAAAACTCTACTCTCATGGATATGTGTTTGTACCATCCTCTGGGACGGACCCGGATGTAACGACAACGCAGTATAGGAACAAAGGAGTTGGTGACAACAGTATTTTGGTCACGGTTTCCCGTGAAGTACTGCAACAGATAAAAGAACATATATATTAGAATATATATTATTAGTAAGATTTTAACTGAATTTTACTCCTGAAATACTCGTAGATAGTCTCAGTGAGATGTTCTTGTGCCGCTGGGTGCTTTTTGCATAACAAACCGTCGTATTACGGCTGCCAGGAGAACATGGCCGTAACCATGGTAGGAGGGAGACAGGCCCTTAGACTCTCAGAAGAGTGTGATTATGCGACCCACACATGATATATGTATATCGAGAAGTTTCACGGAGACCATTGTGGGCAAAAAAGTTTACAATATTGGTATTGAGTGCAACTGCGCCTTTTCTTAAAGGAAAATGAAGGGGGCTGGGGGACAATAAAACTGCTATCGTGACGATATCCTCCCTTCATGTTAAGGGCAACATTGTTTATCCTGCAAGATAACGAAGGTTCGATCGCACCAATTGATTCCCTGTTGGAGGATCTGGAATTTGTTGGCTTACTCGTCTTAGGACATTTAGCTGTCCCATCAAGTGACCATAGTGACGGGCGCCTTATTAACTGGACACATCACCTACGGGAGTTTGAGGCCAACAAACTCACAACCGTGTCCTAGTTTAGTTAGTGCTGAAACACAGACAACCAGCACCCTGTTCAAAGATTTTCACCAATGAGTTCTAGACTCGTGCTCTGCCTCATACCTTAATGCTATTCCTTTCCATATATGGCATAAAGTGAACTCTGTCGAGACTCCTGGTGACGTAATACTGTGTAACCCACTGGTAAGTATCCTGCCGTCCCTGTGTAGATATCTTAATGATCTTCGCTGCTCTTTTAAAGTCCACTTGCAGCCACTGGTAATGGTTATTGTATTTTGCTGACCAGGCCCCTATGTATCGTCCCCGACGCGGCCGATGGAGTCTTGCCAGATAAGGACCATGGAATGTATCCCACATGGATGCCGCCGTGATTTGGTAGTTCTTGATGCGCCCTGTCTGCATTCCCATTGGTCGGTTGCAGAGGACACCTAATAAAGACAAAATAAAGAGGCTAAGAGGAAAAAAAATACTGTATAACTATCTACGACGCTTGGCCTATTTATTTTTGGGATCAAAACATCGACTTTCCTCACAATCACCACACATTTTAAGAAAAATTATTTGCAAGAATTTCTCGTCACATCCATACATATTAGCCCATATTTAATTAGTTTCCTGATTCTTGTCACCTATAATCTGGGCTAAAAAGCTTTTGGAATAACGACATAGTAGTCTACTAAAATTTTGCGGTCAATGCTATGCTGGTAACTCTTAAAAAAGGCTGATTATCAAACCGGCGAACTTGATCAAATTTTGAATGATTTTTGCGAGTTTTAAGCGCATGTAGATTAAGTTATCATTTCTCAGAGGTCTGCGATATTTTCCCAGATAACAGCTGGCGATAAAATTAAGTTGATAAGATATCAATGTTTTTTAGACTTCTGAGTAACTGGGGACGCGGTAAGTAAATCAGCAGATAGAAACAATACAAAGTAGATTGTTTCAAGTCTGATTGATATTTAGCAAACCAGTTGAAATTTACTGAGCGCAGTTGAGGAGATGAACTCGGAGCTACAACAAAACAAGGCTTGTTGCAGAGTCGAAGATCCGTGACCTCCAAATTATAATTCAGTCAGCACCAAGGCGAACTTTCGATTGCATATCCTGTCAGCATTCTGAGAAATTTGGCCCCGGATTCTTCATACACTAGGACTACACGTACCCAGTCGACAGCCGTAAAGTTCAACCCTCATAGAGATCCAGCTGTACCAAGTCCGTGGGTGAATACGTATATAGCGGGCCTTGATGGACGGGCGAAACCTGTGGTACACTACATAATATCTCTCGGTGTTGCCTTGGAATATCTACAAAATAAATGTGCTATGAGAATGTGTCTTTAGATTGGCTAGTTATTATAACATTTGTAGCAAATGAAGAGAGAGACTTTATCGCCTGTGCCTGATAATTAATACTTAAGTCACATCTGAGACATCTGCTCCTCGCTTCGGTTTCTCATGTAATTCTGACTGTAATGATTTTCCCCCGTACGTAGGCCTCTAACGTGTCTCGAGACATCTAAGGACTACACAATTCGCAAACTGAAGTACGTCTTCAATTAAGATATACAGTTGACGACCATGCGACATCGTAGCAGTCAGAGCAACAGTATCAGTAAAAGTAAAAGGGCAAAAAAGAAGCCTTTATGTTACTCCTACCTTGTATGGGTAGCTTAAAGCTCTTTCCTTAAACTACACAACGTAAATTAATTGAAATGTATTGAATACCCAAGTGCATTTCATTACAGAGATTTCCAAAAGCTTTGAATCTTGTCAAATTTTTCATCTGGAAATTGCATTAGCACTTTGTTCCTTGCGTTGATAATTTACGCTTTATCTACGATTTGCTCGCATGTTAAATAAATATTGCTTCTTCGTGGAATAAAACTGGCCAAAGTGAGGTATGACACGTTCAATTCTATATAACTAACCTTTACTCTCCTTCCGTGTCTGTAAGGATAGAACCTCACACCGTTGTTGCTATACGATACAGTGTAAGACTTCACCCACTGGTTGGCATCATACCGGCCTTGGGTAGCTATCCTCTTTACTCTGGAAGTAGTTCCTAAGTCAATCTGTAGCCATTGACGAGTGTTGCGGTACTTAGCGACCCAGCCTCCTCTGGTTACACCATGATTCTGAGCTTGAAGTCTTGCGCTCCAAGGACCGTAGTAGTGGTTGTACATGGATGAGGCGGTGAACATTGCGCGTGTGACGCGACCGTCCCGGACTCCAAGGGGAACATCGCAACGATCTAGATTGTGACAGTAAAATTGAAAAGTTTAACATTCCTGATGGTCCGATTCACAACTTTTGCTTGTTGAAAATTTCAAGTTTTCCATTCAAAGCGTGTTAATTTTCGACACGCTTGACTATCTATGATCCTTTCGGTCTAACGTTGGTCCCTTAAATCTCAAGATTTCAGTGGAAAAATACATTCGTTATATTTTTTTCCTTTGGAGATTTTGATGATAATGAGATTTTATCCTCCGTCACTTGTCTTCTAGACAATTCATTGCCGTAGAAAAGAAGAAGTTACCTTTTCGTCACGCATGGAATTGAAAGGGTTAAATAAAGACTCGACGATAAACATCACCAACGGAGACAGGAAACAGGGTACTATTGGATTCTGGTCGAAAGTGAAAGGTGGAGGTGAAAGAAACTTACCAGCGACACAACCATAGTACTCGATTCTCATTGAAATGTGTCTGTACCAGCCACGTGGATTAAGCTTGACATATCTGGCCAAGATTGGTGGGTTTATGGCATTTTTAGCGATGCTGTTTTGATCACGATTGGCTTGAAAAAGCTGAAAGAGCGAAATAATAATCACGAGCCTCGCAAAAATGTTAGGGGTATTGGCTCAAAACTAGAAAGCCAGTGTCCCGCAATCCTGCTGATACGTTTTAGAATCACAGTTTCTGAGCATAAGAGTCTGAAAAACTTATTCCTACTTTATCCTTATTTTCATTCGCAAAATTTGACAAACCACTAAGTATTAAAGCAGCGAGATTCCTGGAAAGTTTTTACTGAAAGGTAGAGCAGAACTCACTCAGAAAATCATTCAATGAATTTCTTCTCCAAGAATACAAACAAAAGGGCACATTTAAATCTAAAATGGTTGGCAATGAGATTTTTAGCTTCTACACAACAGCGTTCACAAGTACAGCTGCAAATGTCAGCTTTGCTATAATTGTTTATTTAGATAGTTCGGGCAGAAAATTTGTAAATCTAACACCTGATTATAAGGATTGATTTTATCGGTATTTTCATATGTTTTTACCTTGAATACACTTCTAAACTTGAATGCCTCCCAGTGCACGTTATCCTGACTTGACGACAGATAGAAAGAAGTCACCCATTGGTTGGTATCCTGTCGGCCTTGAGTGGCTACTTTAGTGATTTTCATTGGTCGACCAAAGTCCACCTTGAACCATTGTAGATGATTATTGTACCGTGTGCACCAGGCCCCTACATATTTGCCACGTTTGACTTGACCCAGTCTCCCAAGTCTGGCTGCGTGGAACTGATTCCATTCCGATGATGCTGTAATACGGCTGTTGGGAAGACGGTGGTTTTGTAATCCCAGAGGTTTGTTACACGGAGAGGCTGTATAATCGGACATAAAAACAGTGAACAACAATTTTTTTCGGTTAATGACAAATAAGAAACGAAAGATCGTAGAAAAGCCCCCATATCTCGTCGATTTATCGTTCACACGTGGCGTTAAAGTGTACGATAAATCATCAAAATATCGGCGATATCTCGGCAGAGCAAAGCGCAATATTCTACGATAATCGTTCGCATTACATTTGCACAGTACTAAATTTCTTTGTCAATAAATTTCTTATTTACTTTTTGTCGTAATTTCATCGCTTAGACATTTTTCATAGAAAGTTAAGGCATACCTGAAGCGCCATAAACTTCAGCTCTCATAGATATCCAACCGTACCAGGTTTTCGGATAAAAACGAACGTTTATGGCCGTAAAGGGCCTGAGGAACTGGTGATACACGATGGAATGGCGGTTTGTGTTTCCACTGAAGACCTAAGATAAAACCATGAATCTTTTAAAACAGCCACAAAACACAACAGGGGAAAAACTATTACATATGAATGACGGAGGGTTGTCTTGGCTGAGTTCCCCAATTAAACTAGAGGAGTATTCTCTAATTAACCGGAAGGCCAGGGATCCACGTCCCTCAGCGGGCATCTGCGCATTCCAATTAAAGCGTCGTAACCCAAAAAAAAGACGTTTCTGTTATTCTCGTTAGTAGCATAAAAAAATACTAGTTTATACTCAAAACCAGAATTTACTCGTATAGTTGCATTTCTCAGCCGGGAACTTGAGATTATCGCATTACTTAAAAGTTGACGCAAAGTGTATTGAAATAACGAACAGTTTCATTCAATTGAGTTTTTCGCTGATTCTTAATGGAAGCGGAATACTTCCATATTTGTTAGAAACTGACATCCCGCGAAAACATAAAACGAATAACACTTGCGCACTTTTCAATGTCATACGGTTTCACTTGTGAACCAAATACATCTACCTTTGAAAATCACACTAGACATTTACCTTGGTGGTACGTCCTTCCTTGTAAGACACGAAATTCATTCCGTCCACGCTGTACATAATTGTATAGCTTCTCACCCACTGGGAAGCGTCCTGCCTTCCCTGGGTAGCCACGCCTTTTATGCGCATCAGCTCAACAAAGTTCACTTGGAACCATTCCCCTCTGCGGTTGTGGCGCACGCTCCATGACCAGCGGCTGTTCAGTCGGCCATGCCATGGAGAGAGGTGATGATTGTAGTAAGTGGATGCGGTGAGAGAACCATCTGTAATACGCTTATCTTCCAAACCAAGTGGCATAACAAAGCGATCTGAAAGTGTTAGAGGAAGAGGGGTTAGATTCTTTCGTTCTGTACCCAGACGAGAGAGAGAGAAGCCATGTATTTAAGAGCTTTTAATGACTCTTGATAAGGCTTGACACTGGACGAAAAGAAGGTTCTTACAAGTATAAAAAATATGAGCAGAACGCTTGTGTTAACAAAGAAATTTTGCTCCATGTAATTGTTTGTTTTTGTTTTTTTTTTCGAAAGAGAGAAGACTAGAAACTGTCCCTCGCCAAACACTCAATGATAGATCGTCCTCGGCTTTACAATCCAACACTTTCACTTCAGGAAAACCAATACGTAATTTCTCCTTACGATATCAATACACCACCAAACAGAAGATAAAGAGAGAGAGAGTATGAAATGTATGGCAAGCAATAAGGAGAACTTATATTGAGGTTTTGGAATTGAAAGGGTTAAATGGTTTCTCGATTACCTTCAGCACAGCCATAGAATTCGACCCTCATGGAGATATGTCCATACCAACCCCATGGATGGATCTCAATATATTGCGCTTTAATATTAGGAAAGAGGCGATGTTGGACAACACTGTTTTGATCTCTGTTTCCTTGGAAGTACTGCAATAGAAAAATTAAATATTGCCATTGGTTTTATATCCCTTGCCCTGTCTTTTAATTAGAAGCACACCAAATAAATATTCATGCATGTTTGTCGATATCCAAGGTGCCTTGTTAGCACAATAGGCAGCAGCGCATCAGTCTCAAGCAAAAGTGAAAAAGTTGAAGAAATTTAAAGGTCGTGGGTACGATCCTCAAATGGGGCACATATTTTACTGGTTTCCAAAAATCTAGCTATCTCTCTGTCCTCTTTTTTAGATAATCAATTTTTCTTTTCCTTGAACACATGTCTGGCGGAAAAGCAACCAAGGTACGTAAAGAAGAAATACTTAGTGAGGAATGTTCTTAAAGCTTACATCTCTATTTGCTTCTATTTCAGTTTCCACATATGTCCACTGTTTGGAAAAAATGATCTTTTAAAAAATTTCAACGAGCAATTATGATGTACCTTTCGATTACTGTTTTCTTTGTATTCAGCAGAATGCACTCCATCCTGACTAAATGTCAAATAATACTGAGTCACCCATTGACGGGCATCCTGTCGTCCTTGTGTAGCAAACTTCACCACCCGGGTGGGGCGACCAAAGTAAACCTGAAACCACTGGAGACGGTTGTTATGCCGCGAGCACCAGGCCCCCACTCGATGACCAGCGCGGCGGAAATGTAGCCTGCCGTAGCTGGGTGCGTGGTTCTTGTCCCAGCTGGAAGAAGCAGTAAGTTGGTTTGCACGTATGCGGCCATTTTGCATTCCTAAAGGCCTGTTGCATCGTGCACCTAAAACGAATAAACCAAAGAGCGCATGCGACAATTAATACGATATGGTTTTCATTCTTCCATAAAAAGTGGGAGTTGTTCCATGTTCAGAAGGATGTTACTCTTTTGACGTGACAGTGAAGTAAGAAAGCCAGGAGGCAGTGGCTGGTGCCATGGACATTAGACTGAGAGTACTTGTTTAGAACCTGGCCGAACTTTTTCAAATTCCGCATAGACACTCAGAAATTCAAGTTGGTGCCTAAATTTACCTTACTTCTCCGGTTAGAGATCGTAAATTTAGCCCTTGTTTTGGCCGGCCATTGTGATTTCTTTGGTCATAATTTTATTTCACTTGATCGAAACGCGCTTTAAACGTTCTGAAAAAAATCGCAATAAGAAACTTAATTAAGGGCGAGGGAAACTCACCAACGACACAACCGTACAGTTCAACTCTCATTGAGATCCAGTTGTACCACGTAATGGGATGGAATCTAAAATAGCGCGCTGTGATATGGTGACGTAATCTGTGGCGTACAATCACGTGCTGATCATAGTTTCCAAGGAATATCTGAAAGTAAAATAGATCATTAATATCAGGTTTAAAAACCTAAGTGTCCCAATGAAAAGTGTGTGTTAGACTAAGAGATCGGGAGAAAAAATTGAAAGAGCGCTACAAAGTTTCCTTGCTCAAAAGAAGACTGTATTTCCAGTCCACTGGGGTCTATGCGTTATTCTGAGATGAATTATTCAAAACACCGAGAGACCTCACTAAATGTTGGCGGTAATGTGCGATGCTAAACAAGAGAAGTCAAAACCGAGTTTAAAAGTTAATCCTACATTTGCACTAGCACCACCCTTGAACAACCGGCTCCTGGGCAAGAGCTGTGGGCACATAAGACAGAAGAGCTAGAAGCCTAAGTCTTGAGTGGGTAGTGGATGTTATTCTTTTGAATATTCTTTCACTAACCTTTGTTCGACCTCCCACTCTGTAAGGTACATATGCGTATCCATTCTTGCTGTATGAAAGAGAGTACGATTTCACCCATTGAGCGGAGTTCTGTCTTCCTTGCGTAGCAATACGAGACACTCTGGTATATGCACCAAAATCCACCTGAAGCCACTGGCGCCTGTCTCGTCTCTTTGCGCACCAGGCCCCTCCGTATCGACCATATCGGCGGCCGTTCAGCCGTCCACTTCCTGGTCTACAGTAGTAGCTGGCGTGCGAAGAAGCGCGCATCATTTTGTCGTGGACGCGCTTATCTTCGATACCAAGTGGCATATCACAACGATCTACAACAGAAAAAAATTAAGTACACGTAGGGCTTCGTCGACTTGGCTCTTTTTTCGAGTGTCACGCGTGGGTTTAGACGATAAAAATCAAAAAGGGAAGGGGAAAGTTTTAAATGACAAACGTAATATTTAACTGATAATTGAACGAGCACAAGAAGGTGAAGAGGTGAGGTTCAAATGGATTTAACACAAAACAGGAAAACCTAAGAATCATTTAGTGTCGTTCAACGTATTAATGTAGATGTAGAGATTTGCGATGCGTGTAATATTGAATTTCTCTCTTAACCCTTTAGTGACCAGATTCTAAGTTCTCCTTACAGTGATACTGCTGAATCATTAATTAAGATCATGAGAATTGAGGAAATGATCGCCAACCTTAGAAGCTTGATTGTGAAACGAATTCTCCGTATCAATACCAAGGGAATGTATAGAGAAGAGTAGGGAGAAGATTGATACTGATGTTAGGGAGTAGAGGGTTAAACTGACAACAACTTCTCCCTGGAGCTTGTATGTGATTATTGGTTTACTCCAGACAACAGAAATAACAAACACAAAAATAACACAAAAATGGCGTTTTTGAAAAACTTACTCCAAGGACTTCCATAAAGCTCTAGCCTCATTGAAATATGTGATCTCCAGCCTCGTGGTATGATTCGCACGTATCTGCCGTAAATAGCTGGGTTTATAGGGTGTGTTTGTACAGACAGCTGATCTCGGTTGCCTTGGAAAGTCTGTTTAAGGACAAACACAACAGAAGCAATAATGTATTAGCATGGAAATACATGAATCACCTCGAGCATTTCATCAGGTAGAGCGAGCTTGCCTTACAAAAAAACGATCGTTCACGGATCCACTCTTGATTCCCCCTCCCCCTTCCTTCTACATTCTTTTTGCCAGTCGTCTTTCCTCACTTTATTTGCTGTACTCATCTTTCTTCCACTCTAAAACGCCATGATGTCGGCAAAATTTTTCATGAAGAAATATTGAGCACTTGCTAGCCGAAAATTTATTAATACTGCAAAGCCCACAACAAAGTTACCTCATCTAAATTATCAGTAACTTCAGTAACCTAATAAGTGGGAGACTAACCTAAGGCGACTTCTGTCACTTGCTTAAATCAGGTAAAACTTTCTTAGGCAGTGCAAAAGGATACAAAATTAGAATGGAAAGGAATCGGTAGTCCTGTATTGTTACCGATGAGTTCCCAAACTCATCACTTGAATTTCAATCGATGTGCTCCTTCGCGCCAGAATGCAACTAAATTTGCCATCATGTCATACTTCCTAACGATCTTTAGTTAAAAACCATCTTACCCTTGGTGCATAACTCCACCAATATTTCACTTGAGAAAAGTACACACCATCGTAACCATAGTAGATATAGTACGCGGTCACCCATTGGACAGCGTCCTGTCGACCTTGAGTGGCAATACCAGTGATCTTCATTGCCCTTCTAAAGTCGATTTGTAGCCACTGATTGTGGTTGTTATGTCGGGAAGACCAGGATCCAATGTAAGGCCCCCTTTTGGCTCGGTGCAGACGAGCAAGCCAGGGCGCGTGATGCTTATTCCACTGAGAGGAAGCTGTGATTTGGCTGTTTTTTATACGACCGGATTGAAGACCTACTGGCGCATCGCAGAAGTTTTCTGTATACAAAGTAAATGAAGTATTGAATGCTTAACTCTTGATGGACCAAATATTTAAACATCTGACCCATGATATTAGTCATGTAATCACCTCTTAATCGTCCTCCATAAAGTTCGACCCTCATGGCGATGTATGAACGCCATCCCTTAGGATGGATCCTGATGTAGCGTGCTTTGATAGCGGGAAGTATCTTCTGGGCCACTGTGTGATAAATGTCGTAGTTACCTCGGAACATCTAAAATAAGAGTAAAAGACAAATTTTACTTACAGCCGAAAATGCAAGAACGGGAACAGGGACAAATTTTGTTACATCTTTAATTGCAGATGGGTTTGCTTTAAACAAATCGAAGTAAATCCAACAAAATGTTTGATAATAACAAAGTCGGCCCCCTGAAGTTTAACAGTTTGTTGGTAGCTTCTTCTTTATAGTTACACTACTTGCGAGAAAATTAAAAACCTGGTTTTGCAAATGTTGAATGAAGGGGGAACGCTGCGAGATTTGTTAAATTATGTTCAGGGTTGGTACACTGAACTTCTCTCGGAATAACTTTGCGCGGCAATCAAACTACGCCGTTTGTGACTAAATATGAAAATAACAGGGTATAAAGTTTGGAATTTATCTTCAAAAGAGAAATCATCTCTATATGCTGTAAAAAAACTGTAGAAAAAAAGGTAAACGTAGAACCTGCCCAAATTTACATTGAGTGGAACAAGTATTTGGAACGCCTCCTCTTAGAAAGTGGTCTTTAACCCTGCACTCAACATAAAGAACAGAAATCTTGCAATTAATCTCTAACAAGTTTCCTGAGAGTACAATTTCTTCGCCTTACCTTAACGCGCCCGAAAGATACGTAAGAGATGAATCGCGCTCCGAATCGACTATAGGATATCTGATACTTTGTCACCCATTGATGAGCTTCTCTCCTTCCTTGTGTAGCGATTCCTTTCACAAAAGTCATTTCCCTGAGGTCAATCTGTAGCCACTGATTATAGTTACGATGCCTGGCGACCCAGGCTCCTGTTCGTCCACGACCGTTGACGATGTTTAGACGCGATCGGTCAGGTCCGTGGTTGTAGTTGTAAGACGACGAGGCCCGAAGATGACCCGACAGAATACGACGATCTTCCATACCAAGAGGCATGGTGAAACGATCTTGAAAAAATTCAAGTGATAAGTTTTAAAAGGCGTACCAACAAAAAATGGAAATTTTATAAGTCATTCAGATGTGAATAAGGCTTTTTAGCAACTTGTAGGTCATAATTTTGCAACTGTAAGTAGCAAAATGTTCTCTCCAGAAAACAAGACTCTTCAAGAGTCTTACGTTCGTCCTAGTTGACGAATTACGACCTACAAATTTAACGTTTAGCCACAAAAAAAGACCTAATGATTTACTTTCTGAATTACACTTAAAATGTCCTCTTAAAATAAATGCATAGAGGTCCTAAAGGAGAAAGTCATGTCCTGGAAGCTCTAATGTAAAACCCGACACTTTTCTATGACATTTCGAGTTTGTCTTGCCATCAGGCTTATAACGCATTCACCAGGTCCTCGTTCCTCTCAGTTTTCGAACGAGTGAGCAGAATAAAGGGGTGTTCCCTCTTACCAATGCGACATCCGTAGAATTCTAATCTCATAGAGACATGAGCGTGCCATCCCCAAGGATGTACCCGGATGTACCGTCCTCGAATGGCAGGAATAAATGAGTGTAACCTTACTGTGTTCCGGTCGTGATTACCAGAGAAATACTGGAACGAGACAACAAACAAACAAAAATCAAATATTTTGGTTGCTTATGAGAAAAACAATAGTAAGAATGATAATACTAACAAAATGAAAAATAATGATACTAATAATAACGATTTGTTCAACAAATCCATGGGGACTCTTCTCCGTTAGTGAAGAAAAAACGAGGGCTTAATTGAAGAAAAAGAAAAAGAAAAATATAAACCTGGTATAAACAAGATAATATATCATATTTTATTTGATGTCTGGTCTATGATAATCTTAATAATCATTAAATAAATTATTACCTTTCGGGAGTTTCGTTCTTTATACTCTGAGAAGTGGATTCGGGTTAAACTGTGTGATACATAGTATTGCGTCACCCACTGGTTTGCGTCATGTCGTCCCTGGGTCGCAATTCGAATTATTTTAGACGCTCCGCCAAAGTCGACCTGCAGGAACTGGTACCGATTGTTGTATTTTGAGGACCAAGCCCCGATGAAACGACCGCGGCGGCGGTGGTGAAGCCGACCAAAGTGAGCAGCGTGGTTCACATCCCAATAAGATGAGGCTGACATCATGTGATTTTTAATGCGGCCAGACTGTAATCCCATTGGTCGGTTGCATAGTGGGCCTGCGAGCAGAGCAATAAGAGAAAGTCATTACAGCTATGTCTAGGTACACCGGTTGCAGAGAGGAGAAAGGCAGAAACGTATTTTACGAAATCAAAGCAAACAAAATTAAGTTCAGAAGGATAAAAATAAACACAGAGATAATTACACTCAAAAAGTGTAAAAAGGTAACCAATCGAGAAAATCACGACCGAAAATTCCAAAGAATATCATTAGAATTAAGTGCTGTAGACAAAGCAGTAGTTAAAACTAACGTTGTTCTGCCTGCGGGAGATACGTCCAGAAATGCATGCTGTAACGAAAATGGCGAAAATTCGTCAAAATCGTCAAAACCACCCCGCTGATTTCGCTTTGACGAATTTGACTAAAATTCACCAAAATTGTCAAATCCATGAAATCCACGGGTTTGGTGAAATTTCGTCAAATCTGTCATTTTCGTTATTGCATGCATTTCTGACATAAGTGACCGGCGGAGTGGAAAGCTTTAGTTTGAGTTTGCCCTAATCAAGGAAAACGTTATAAGGGTTTGAGGGAGCACACTTACCGAGCCTACAACCATATAACTCTACTCTCATAGAAATGTAGCTGTACCATGACTTGGGATGTACGCGAACGTAACGCGTTTTCAATGAAGGCCTGAATTTATGGAAGACAACATGATTTCTTTCGATGTTGCCTTGGAATACCTTGAAAAGAAAAGGAAAGAAACGAAGCACATAAGTAAGCAGGTCCTTTAAAGTACGAATAAGCAAGATTTGAATCAAATCAGATATTGAAATCTAGTACCTTGACATTCCTTCCCTGTTTGACAGGATAAAACCTCGCTCCGTTATTGCTGTAAGACACTGTATAAGACTTCACCCACTGATTAGCGTCGTACCGACCCTGAGTAGCGATTCTCTTTACTCTGGATAAGATTCCTAGGTCAATCTGCAGCCACTGATGAGTGTTGCGGTACTTTGCGATCCAGCCTCCCCGGAGTGAGCCATAGTTCCTAGCCTGAAGCCTGGCACTCCAGGGACCGTAGTAATGGTTATACATGGAGGATGCCGTGAGCATTCCCTTGGTGACTCGACCGTCTTCCATTCCCAACGGAACATCGCACGGATCTGAAACAATCATTGCAATGTTAATAATATAGTCAAAATACAGTACATAGACAAAAAATGAATAAAAACCTCCATTTACCTCAAAAATATGAACACAGTACAGAGACCCAATAATAATACAAAACAGACCACGTTCATAAAAAGACACAAAAACAGACCCTGGCCGTCAATGCAAAATTGAAAATTTTATATTGATAACTGCTCAATAAAATTCTATGAATTATTTTTCATAGTACTACTATTATTATTGAAGAATTATTGCGCATCATGTATTTACATAGAAATTGGTCCCTACCTGCGCGACATCCATAGAACTCGACTCTCATAGAAATGTGGCCACTCCATCCCTTCGGGTGTAAACGAATGTAACGCGCCAAGATAGGTGGATTTATAGCTTGCGTGACTACGCTGTTACGATCGCGGTTTCCTTGAAAGTACTTTAAGAGAAAATTTGAAGATAACGTTTAGCGAAAAGTTAGTAGAGAGGCGTTAGTATCACAACAATCAAGAAAACCGAGCATCAAATTCTTGGGGGACGCTAAGGTTCAAAGGCGTTTCTTTTAGGTTTTCATGCAACTTGCGTTATGTCAAAATGGCACGACGAGGAAACGCCTTAAACTCGAGCTCGTCAGGCGACACATGTCTTCCGCGCTGAGGCCCGTGATGGAGCTTAAAAAATTCAGTTTGTTGGTCAGTTGTATTTAAAGCTATGGCTATCTACTTTACTTTGAAGGTAACGAGTCGTATTTACGTCTGTTAAAGTAGGGTATAGTCGCCTTAGTAGCCTCTATTTGCCATTGTCGCGCAACGCACTTTCTTCCCTGAGAGAGCATGTTGCGTGACGGTCACAGTGAGCATTCTCAAATTGCATGCGATAACTTCACAAATGACTCCTTAATCGTAGGTGTCCTACCTTGTCCTGACTGTTAATCCTATGAATCTGCCAGTGAATTCCATCCAAGCTGGAGGAAAGCAGATAACGCGTTACCCACTGGTTAGAGTCCTGTCGACCTTGAGTGTCCACTTTAGTGATTTTCATTGGTCGAGAGAAGTCAAACTTGATCCATTGGTTGTGATTGTTGTGTCTTGAGCTCCAGGCTCCCACGTAACCTCTATGCCGCACTTGACCCAATCTAACAAGCCGGGGCGCGTGGTATTTGTTGTATTCCGAAGACGCGGTGATCTTGGAATTCGGTAGCTTTCTAACCAGTGGGCTGCTGCATGAAAATACTGCAAAACATCGAAATTTTGCCACAATTAACTTATAGAATGTCAACATCTTGATAGAAAACTTTTCATTTCATAGCAAGAGTTTTATTGACTCAAATCTCATATTGTATATTTTCACGTTTTTATTGATAAAGAGGAAAAAATTTTCATAAAATACTATCGGTGAGTGACAAAACTCTTGAAAATATTGAAATAGGATCGGTACATACTTCATCACTCTAAAGTATCAATACTACTTCGATCATAACCTCAAGGTAATCAGCAACTGCTGAAATGTGGAAAAGCGAACAAGGAACGATAAAATTTTTATCTAAACATTCATAGGCCAAAAATGAAAAGTTAGACTGATTGTAACTTTATTGATCGGTATAACGCTGGTGAACAAAGTTTCTTCCATCAATCCATCAATCAATCAATCAATCAATCAATCAATCAATCAATTAATCTGTCTGTCAATCAACCAGTCAATCAGTCAATCAGTCCATCAACCAGTCAACCAATCAGTCCATCAATCAATCACCAATCTACATATTAGTCTGTCTTCTTGTCTGTCTGTCTGTCATTCAATAAACCAATCAATCAATCGGTGAGTCCCGGACTAATAATGAAACATTTTCGTCCCTCAGTTTCTCAAACACCCTCGAAGCGCAAACTCTAACATACCATAACAGCCGTATATCTCGGTCCTCATAGACATCCAGCCGTACCAACTTCTTGGATAAATACGAACATACACGGCTTTGAACTGTTTAACAAAATCATGGTACACAATCGGGTGCCTGTTGCTGTTTCCGGTGAAAACCTGCCAGGATTTAGAATAGTAAAATTTCAAAGAGGTGATTGATGAGTAATCACGGTGATTAAGGTGATTAGCAAGATTGCCTTACTCATCAAGCCTTACACTCTGGTTTAACCGTTTAACAAAAAGACTCCATGTTATCGTGCGACTTTTCAGTGATAAATTAAAGACGACGTAAGAATCTGGTTAGAACAAAAAAGTGGCACACAAGGCACACTCTTACCTTGGTTCCCCTCCCTTCAGAGTAAAAGCGGAAGTGGGTTGAATCAGGACTGTAGGACACAATATACTTTGTCACCCATTGATTAGCATCCTGTCTTCCCTGGGTACCAATCCCTGTCGCCCTGACCACACCCACGAAACTCACTTGGAACCACTGGTTATGGTTGTTGGTCCTTGCGCTCCATGACCAGCGGTGGTTCAACCGGCCATGCCAAGGGGACAGATGATGATTGTAATATGTAGACGCCGATAAAAGGCCATTAGTGATACGTTTGTCTTCCAAACCAAGAGGAAGAGAGCAACGTCCTTTTATTCAAAAGATAAAAATAATAAACAGAAAATGAAAAGGACGAAATCGTAAAGTTACAAACGACAAATAGAATATACTGATGACAAGGGGCAAGGGTAGGTAAAAAAAAATATTTGAGCCCATTAACGTCAGGTATTGGTTCATTAATAAGGCTATTTCCTAGAAATAGAGGTTTTTTTCGGACCTTTTTAAATTTTCCTTGATTCTTCCCCACAATACAGTATACCAAAATTTAAAAAAAGGAAAAAAGATCAAGCATACATGTTTAGGAAAAAATGTCTTATTTCAACACGTATTTCCAATGAATCGTAGAATCGGAGTCAGTATCTGAGCAAATCTATACTTACCCCTTCCCTACCCCGACCACAGTCAACTGATAACAAGTCAGAGTTATTTTGGGTTAGGGGAGGGGTAGGCAGGGGTAGATAGAAGGCAATATTAGCGCTGAATAAGGCGCGTCCTACTTAAAGCACTTTGCGTGTACTATACTAGGTAGAACAGGATGAACCATGTAACACCCAGGAATCGTAATTTTGCTTTGATTTCTATAAGGACGACATCAAACCTGTAGAACACCCATACAGCTCCACTCTCATAGAGATATGTCGGTACCAGCCCCAAGGATGGACACGGAGAAAACGCGCTCTGATTTGCGGGAATAAACGATGCTGTACCACGCTGTTTTGGTCTCTATTACCCGTGAGGTACTGGGAAAATAAAAAAAGACGAACCGTTATTTACTGTTCGTTCTCTAAAGCCTAAATTTTAACCCTTTGAGAGCTAAGAGTGACTAACATCTGATTTCTCCTTACAACGTCATTCCCGAATCAAACATTAAGGTCATGAGAATACAGGAAATGATCTCCAACTAAAGAAGCTTTTGATTGTTAAACAAAGTCTCCTTGTTAGCACCTTAGGAAATGTATAGAGCATAGTAGGGAGAAAATGGATACTGATGCTTAAGTGTAAAGAGTTATTCTGAGAATGGCTTTAGGCGCTATTTCAGGGCAAGTGTATGAAATCAAATCGCCCACTAAGCAACGTCGCAAAAGCAGCATATCAAGTGTTAAAAAAATTCCTAACCTCCAGGTTAGCGCCACGCTTGAATCATATACTACTATTAGCACTAAAACTTAGTGGCAAACGTGACTTACAAATCTCTGTTTACAGTTCAGAAATAGCACGCATTGGCGAATTATTTAGATATGATACTTATCCTTGATTTAGGCTTTTATAATTGCTAGAACGATTCTTTTCTACTTTCTTCCGAAAGTTTATTGCACGGCGAATGACATGGTCCAATAAAGTAGTACAAAAATACTGCTTCTAAATTAAATAACCGAACTTACTTTCCGGTTGCTGTTATGTTTAAACTCCGCGAAGTGTGCGCCATCTTGACTGTAGCTGAGATAATACTGAGTGACCCACTGAGCAGCATCTTGTCTTCCTTGTGTAGCGATTTTTACCAGTCTTACAGCGCGGTAAAAATCGATCTGAAACCACTGGTACCGAGTGTTATGTCGAGCACACCAGGCCCCCACTCGATGGCCAACGCGGCGGAGATGAAGCCTGCCGTTGTTAGGCACGTGATTTCCGTCCCAACTGGAGGAGGCGGATAATTGTGCTGCTTTTATGCGACCATTTTGCATGCCCAAAGGTTGGTTACATCGCTTTCCTGTAAATTGAGGGGTAAAATTAATGTATTACTAAGAATTTTTATAAAAAATGTTACCTTAAGTTCTCAACACTTGTGTTTTTATGGGCAAATTAACCAGGTAAGAAATAAATTTCCTTACTTCGTTAAATTTGGGATAAGATATCAAAATCTACAGCATTCACATATTCACATATTCTTTTCCACTCTTAATGAAACAGAAATTGATTAGAGAAAATTTGTGTAATTATATCCGGAAAGCGGAAAGATTCTGAATTGTGATATTGAGTTGAGTGTTCCAATCAGCTTAGTCTGCCCTTTCAAATGACACTTCACGCAAAATTTGTGATCTCGGGGTTTCAATAAGTTAACTCTACCTTTTCGTACGATATTTCGTTGATCACATCGATGTCTCTTTTGCCTTCTGTCAAGCGCTGTCAGATTTGAAATTCAACTCAGTAAGAGTACAGTTACCTCGGCACTTCTAATTTCAAGTTTTAGAGATGAAGAAACTTCGCCACTCAAGTGAAATCTTACCGTACACACATCCATAGAACTCGACCCTCAAGCCAATCCAAGAGTACCAAGAAACAGGGTAAACTCTGAAGTATTTTCCATGGAGAACCCGGGCAAACCTATTTTCCACGGTGATGTATCTATCATTGTTTCCACGGAAAATCTACAAAAAAAGGAAATACAAATGAAACGATCGATACGATTGAGCTAATGGAAGAATCTATTCAATCGGTCGGAAGTGTTAAGGTGATCTCCTTGAAAAGAGCGTCCTCGAACCGTCTGAGAATCTGAGCAAAGTCTGGAGATGAAGCTTTAACATCACATAAGTAAGTAAAACATACCTTTGTGGTTCTACCTTCGCGATATGTAGCAAATCCAGTTCTAGTTCTTGAGTATTTAATGTAATATTTCTTCACCCAGTAATTGGCATTTTGCATTCCCTGGGTAGCGACACGTGTCACTTTCGCCAAAGCCTGGAAGTCAACCTGCAGAAACCTATGTCCGTCATTTCTACGCGGTGACCATCCTCCGCCAAAACGACTGTAACGCCGCCTGTTGAGACGGGCGTTCCATGGCGCATCGTAAATATTGTTGTACGAAGAAGCAGTCATGACTTGGTCTGGCACACGGCCGTCTTCGAGACCGAGTGGCATATCACAATGACCTAGAAAACATAAGCAAAATTTACAGAAATACGTTAAACATTAGTGACTAGCTTGGGACAGATTGAACTCTAGTTCAGCCAGTTCTGATCGGCCGACTCCATAGAATAGGTTTACGCAAAAGCGTCTTGGGTAATATTAGGATCATCAATGTTACAAGCGTCTTTCTGGTCATCAAACAAGGAAAAAAGTATTAAATAAGTAGAGACTGATGTAAAGCAAGAGTGGGCAAAAAAGTGTGTCGCGGCTTGAGAGAACTATTTGTAGATGGTATAACTGAATCAAAACAAAAAAAATAAAACAATTCTATCAAAATTGCTCAAGAGAAGTTTAATACTTCTTTTTAGCTTAGAAACGCTTGGAAGGAGAAATCATCGTCAAAAAATCTCCACAGAAAGCGAAGTTATGTCTACACTTACACCGACCACAAGTTAAGTTAAGGTTTGACTTTTCATTCAGCTTTCCGTCTACGGTTCTAGTTATGCTGGATTGAAAGAGGTTTTAAGGGAGGGTTCTCGAAAATAGCTTCCTATAGTTCTTTAAAGTGTAGAGAGCCCCACTTACTCCACGGACATCCGTACAGCTCCATCCTCATGGAAATATGTGATCTCCAGCCTCGTGGTTGGATACGAACGAAGCGGGTGTAAATAGCTGGCCTGAAAGCGTGCGTACGTAGAGAATATCTGTCGTAGTTGCCTGGGAATTGCTGCGAAAGAAACATTAAAAAAATCCATGAAGGTTATGTCATTATAATCAGGTAGGTCTTCCCCTTGTCTACTTCGGCATGGAGTGCGTAGGTGTTTTGTTACCACTGATGAATCCTTTCTAGTTCTTTCAAGATATTTGGACAATTTTTGTGTGTGCCAATTTAACTCTTTGGTCCATTAGAGTGACTTGCATTGTTTCTAACTTCTCATTACAGTATCAACCCTGAATCACATATAAAGGTTATAAGAATAAAGGAAATGATCAAAGACTACAGAAGCTCTGGATTGTTAAGAAAATTCTCCTTTTCAGCACCTTAGGAAATGTATGGAGAATATGCATACTGATGTTAGGATTTGCGGGTTAAACTTTGAAGTGAAGTGAAGTCTATCGCCCATGGAAAAATATATATGGAAAGCTGACCAAATCATAAACCTTGATAACATTTTGACCAAGCTTCACTGAAGGCTCCTCACACGATTTCGGATTGAATTATCGCAAAAAGCGCTAATGATAATCAAAAACCTAGAATTGGAAGAAAATTGCAAAAACAAGTGGTCAGTTTTTAAACCGACATGAGTCAGTGGGCAACGTATGGCAATTTTTTCATAAGAAAAAGGAACAAAAAAATTTCAACCATTCAACTCGGCTCTCGACGAGGGTTTGACTCGCCTAAACGTCTTTATTCATGTAAACGCGCACAAACATTTACCTCCAAGTAGATTTCCCTGTGCGGTGAGCTAAAACAGAACTAAACAGAGCTGTACAACGTCAGTCACCAACCTTCACATAATTCCACCAGTGCTTCACTTTAGCAAAGTACATTCCATCCAAGCTGTAGAACACATAATAAGCAGTCACCCACTGATGGGCGTCCTGTCGTCCCTGAGTATTGATACCAGTCACTTTCATGGTCTTTCCCAGGTCAACTTGTAGCCACTGATTGTGATTGTTGTGTCTTGATGACCAAGAGCCAATGTAGCGGCCATGTTTGGCGCGGTGGAGCCTGGCAAGCCACGGTGCGTGGAACTGATTGTACATTGAGGAGGCGGTGATTTGGCCATTTTTGATCTTCCCATTTTGCATTCCGACTGGATTGGTACAGAAACGAGCTGTTGACAAATGGGAAAATAAACCATTAAATTAATTGAGCTGATAAACAAATCAACGACGACGAATCTTCTGTAGTGAAAGACAATGTTTTTCATCCGATGGCATGTCCACAGAAGAGGAAAAAGAAATTCTTAACGTTCGCTATCGAAATCGAGCCTCTGCTTTGCAATGGTTACTTCGAACGCTTTAGTTTACAGCTTGTCAATCAATCCCTGGGCTTTTGACCAAAATCTTGACCACAATACTCATGCAGAGATGTAACAGGAAGATAGACAAAGCTTGCCTAGAGAAGGAGCTTATTGAAACTCTTGTACACTAAAAACAGGCAAAATTTTATGATGATAGCCAAACCCAATTTCTTTTAACTCAAGAACCAACCAAATATGTTCCCTCGTATACTCATATAACTGCACCTGTCACAAAGATATCCTTACCTCCCCCATAATAGCAGCCAAAAACCTCTACCCTCATGGCGATGCCGCCTCGGAACGACTTCGGATAAAATCGGACAAATTTGGCTCTGATCGGAGGAGCAAGTTCGTGTATCACGATCGTGTAGCGATCGAAGTTTCCGCTGAATACCTGCGAATCGGTGTATAGAACATTTCATGTACGAAAAAATTGAAGAAATATGCAACTGGGATACAACTTGCAACTTGGAAAGTTGCAAAAACATCCTCGAAAGTGACATTTTTCTCACACTACTATAAGACTTGAGAACCAATAAAAATTTACACTGAAAGATGCCGCATCTGTTTTAAAATCCTGTTTCTAGTTTTAAGCGATAGCCTACCGCTCAGCTGGCGAGTTCAAAAAGCAGGAATTACTTATTCCAGTATTAACTTCCAGCAAAAGAATAATTAAAGGTCATTAAGTCATGTAGTGAATCTGCTTACTTTAAAGGTCAACCAAAAAATATCGGAAGACACTGTTTTTACCACTTGGCAGACAATTCCGCTATTTTTACTTAATCTCTCTTAATCTTTCTTCAACTCTGATAAACTTTGAAAAAGCTAGAAAACAAACTGACAACGAAATCTAGAGAAATCTGAATACCGGAATCGTCTGTAACCTTACAACAGACATTCTCAATTTTTTTTCAATTTATAGTAGGAATGGTATTCAGTTGTCGCAATGTATTTCATTTTATTCCCCAGATAGATTTTGAAAAGAGTCGAGAAAGGACTTTTACATAGAAATAATTACCAACCTTGGTTCTACCAAATTCAAGATACGCCTTAAACGACTTTCCATCTAAACTGTAAGACACAATGTAACTGGTAACCCATTGGTGGCCATCATGCCGACCCTGAGTAGCCACGCCTGTAACTTTGGCCGGTCGATCCAGTTCCACCTGTAGCCACTGATTTGTGTTTCTGCCTCTCGCAACCCAGGCCCCTGACCGACTATGTCCCGAAGGAAAGTTGATTCGCGCGCGGTCTGGACCATGGTTGTAGTTCCAGGAAGATGATGCTTGAAGTGAGCCAGAAGGGATACGATAGTCTTCCACACCAAGAGGCATCTTACAATGATCTTTAAGAGAACGAAAGAAATATGCAGTTAAAATGAGTCTCTCGATATTGGTAATCTGTGAATGACTGTTCTTTTACAAAAACTATAATTTTCTGCAAAGCTTCAGAACTCCATAGTGAGTCTTGTTTCACAAGACCTAGTGACAGTAGCGTTTATGATTTAATTTAAAACCGCACGCAAAATAATTTTGGTCTCAACTACATGTCTTAATCAGTGCAAACCCTGATCAGGCCATTGCGTTCCACAGAGCCTCGATCGACCGAGTTACATAATGAGTGTCAATGACATGTAAAGAAAAATAAACGTAATACTTATGGGTAACGTGGCCTGCGGGAGTCATTTCATTGTTTATGAGAGAGCTTAGACAAGCAGGAGATGTGAGTGCGGAAAAGAGTCGTATACGAGAATCAAAGTTCTCTATCTCGCGTGTGACTCGCCTTTCACGGACGCCTCTCGCACGTGTCTGCCTATTCTGCAGGCTAAGTCACTCTATGCCACAGAAACTGGGATAAGCTTCGGTAGCTGAGCAAGTCAGTCTTGTAGCCAGACTTCTATACTCAGTTATACACTCTGTGTGATTTTCTCTACTGCTTGAAAGTGTTTATTACCGCGAAAATCGCTTTCATATTCATAACAAACCTGTAAGGCATCCATAAAACTCTGCTCGCATGGAGATGTGCCCATACCAATGCCAGGGCACAATACGGATAATCCTCGTTCTTATATTGGGTACCAGCGCGTGTGATACAACCGTGTTCTGATCGCGATTTCCTGGGAAATACTAAGACAAACAAAGGGCATAACACATCAGGCACTTAGGAACAGGACACCATCACTGCTTAGCCTAAAGATATACTAAAAGAACGTCGTCCCGAAGGCAATTTAGGCGCGTTCTCGGCTAAGATCCAGTTTAATGGGTGTTAACACGCCTGAGCGACTTCTGCAATTCGTAAAGAATTTCTTTAGAAACTTCAGACCTTAACAAGACATGTAAGTAGCTTTATACCGAGTGGATCGTGGATTTAAATCCTTCAAGTCTTCTTTTAAATTTTCCCGTGCAATAACTCTCAGACCACCCGCAGAACAAATTTAAGCAAAACCAAAGCAATTGCGGATTACTTTCGACAATCAATTGAAAATTGCTCGATCTTTGATTATAAATATCTACCTTTCTAGTGTGACGTTGCTTGTAGTCAACGAAGTGAATTCCGTCTAAAGAGTATCTCAAATAATATTGTGTGACCCACTGTCTGTAGTCCTGTCGCCCCTGAGTTGCGACTCTGACGATGAGAGCAGCTCTTGAAAAATCCACCTATTTTAAAATAAAAAAAACATTTATCCAACAGCTGAATAACTTCTTAAGCAGCGTGCCAAACGATTGAGTACGGAGGGCGCATGTTCCAGTATGAGCGGGAAAAAATAAATGAAAAACCATGCGCTTTTAAAAATGACGCTGTTTCTAGCCAAGCGCCCACTAAGCTAGGCAATAACTCAATCAATCTAAGAGCCTCTTGCATAGGTCACTCTGACCAATAACCGGCTTATTCGGGGTGAGTCGATTTGATGAGTGGAATTTAGTCCCTATCTTACGGATTGGCCGAGTTTGTGCAACAACATTGTGTGCAAAGCCAGGAAGGAAATATTTAATGTCCTTCCACGTTCGTCGGAACAATTGTCAGGAAGCATTTAGCGAGCCTGATATGTGCTAACACCGAACAATCTTCATGGCTAGTTACGTTTGTATTTATAACATTCATTGGATAAAATAGCGTTTTACTTGACTCAACCATGAATCATATACTTCCAACAAGCTTTTCATTTATCGACAATGATTTTTTTTTAGTATTCACCTGCAGAAATTGATAACGATTGTTAGTTTTCGCACTCCATGCTCCAATGAAGCGTCCAGCTTTACCATGATGCAATCTGGCGCGAAACGCGGCATGGAATGGGTCCCAATTAGACGAAGCAGTGATTTTGCTGTTGTGAATACGACCACTCTGCATTCCCATCGGTCGGTTACACAGAGGACCTAAAGTGGAAAATGGCGTCAAACACAGCAATAATTAAGCCAGAGGGAAATCTTTCAAACGGGTGTAAAGGAAACGATAAAACGGTAAAGAAGCTCTTGATTGTTAAGCAAATTCTCCTCGTCGACTCTTTAGAGAATGTATAGAAAACAGTATGAAGAATATGCATACTAATGTTAGGGTGTAAAAAGGTGAATGAACTCTCTGTAATTGCCACACTCACCGTGTCTACAGCCGTACAGTTCCATTCTCAAAGATATGTACCGGAACCAGGATTTCGGATGCAGTCGTACATACCGTGCCCTGAATGGTTTTACAAAGCGATGTAGGACCACGTGGTATCTGTCACTATTGCCACTAAACATCTATAAACAATATATTTGACCAATAAGATGACTGACGTTAGCAAAGACCTGAAGACACTAATGAGACTGTGAAAAGTAGTGAAAGATCAAAACCATGGTTTTTTATTTCAAGAACAAAAGGCTATTTCGATCAATTCAACCTAGGGTTCACAAACCAAGCAAATGAATGTAAAAGCTTGTTCCTCTTCAGTCATTTTACCCCTAAGAGTGACTAGCTTTTAACTTCTCCTTAAAGTATTAATGTTAATTAATGATAATTATTAATAATTAATAATTATTAATAATAATTATTAATGAATTATCAATTGAATCAAATGTAAAAGTAATAAAAATAAAGGAAACTATCACCAATTTAAGAAGCTCCTTGTTGTCAAAAAAATCTTCCTTGTAAAGGGAAAGTGTGGAGAATATGAATCCTAATGTTAGGGCGTAAAGGGTTAAAACTTCTTAACCACGTTAAAAAAAAAAAATTTTTATTACATCGAGAGTAGCTCATATTTTGAACGTTTCTGAATACTGCAGATAGAAAACGAACAGTGATGATAGTAGCATATTACCCTTGTCCGGCTCCCTTCTTTGTACGGATAAAAGCGCCTTCCATTTCCACTGTAAGTGATGAGGTACGACTTTACATATTGATATGCGTCATAGCGACCCTGGGTAGCGACGCCTTTTAGTGTAGAGGGTTTTTCCAAATCAACCTGAATCCATTGCTGAGTGTTTCTTATCTTGGCGATCCAACCTCCTCGTGTGGAGCCATAGTTTCGCGCCTGTAGCCTAGCATTGTATGGTCCATAGTACCAGTTGTACATGGAAGATGCGCGAAGGCGGGATTTTGTAATGCGGCCATCTTGCATTCCGAGAGGTACGAAGCAACGATCTGCAAAAGGAGCAATACTTTAAAGTTATAGTTTATACCCATGCTGGTAAATATCTTTATGGAAATGGTTCACGAGCAAACACTAGCTTCTCCCTTTTACTTTGCGGGGTTTTGTTTCAATCGATTTAATCAATTTAACCTTTTCTCATTAAAAATTCTCCTTACTATCTGCCATAAAATTCTTATGATGTTAGTTCAGAGAAATAGGTATTGGATCGACTAATAATCCCCTCGTTGAAATTTTTTTTTTTAATCTCGTCACTTGTCTGCTTGATATAATTTTGATAGTGTGAGGAGAGATTATTTCTTTAACACTCGTGGGAGATATAAAGGGGTAAATAGTTCTGCCAGCGATTTAAACCGGACAGCCATCTCTTAGAGCTCATAAAAAAGAGACAAAGACAAATCAATGAAAAAAATATCCATATTGTCGCATACTCTGTTATGTCTTTTGCAATTCTTAGAGATGAGAGAAGTAACCATTGCCATAAGAATTACAGCATCCATACTTAACTACGTTAAATATCTATTTACCTGCTGGACAGCCGTAAAATTCGACTCTCATACAAATATGACTCCGCCAGCCACGTGGTTGTATTTTCACAAATCTTGCAATGATTGCTGGGTTTATTGGCTGCGTCACCACTGAATCTTTATCGCGGCTTCCAGGAAAGTACTGAGACATTAAACGGAACGGATGAATTAATAAATTCACCATACACTTTCATTAAGGAATAATAATTTGTCCCTCACTGCTAAGAAAACCGGGATTAGCTCCGGCGCCTTGTGGGCCACTCAGTTCCATTGCTGCTTTGACCTTGTCTCGTACCCAGACCTTCCACGGCTATTTCAGTTACAGTTGAACGGGAGGATCCGGATACGACATTAGCTTTCACTTTGAGTTAAAAAAAGAGAAAAGCAAAACCTATGTAACCGTAAATACTTACCTTATCATTATTCTTGTATCTGTACACATTCCAATGCACGTTATCCAGACTTGAGTGCAAAAGGAACCGAGTTACCCACTGGTGCACATTAGACCTCCCCTGTAAGGCGATTCCTGTCACTTTTGTGGGCCGAAGGAAGTCAAATTTGAGCCACTGATTGTGATTGTTATACCGTGCGCACCATGCCTGACTGTGATGCAGTCTCGCGCGCCAAGTGTAAAGGCCTGGCCACGAAGAGGATGCTGTGATTTGCTTGTTCTTTAGACGGCCATTTTGAAGACCGAGAACACCATTACAGAGACCGACTGAAAGGAAAAATACTGCAATAAGCTTTGGATTTATCATGATCATTCAATCATGGCTGGTGTAAAAGAATTTAGGGATAAACGTTAATCTAGTTAATCTAAAAGACCACTCATTTTTTTTCGCGGAAGGAGGGGAGGGGATGGTCGGAGGATTTTCGTCGAGTCACGATACAATTTACCTGCCCTCCCCCCATAAGGCTCTGTAATGTTCTTATGACCCCCTCCCCCCTCATCGGCAGTTAGTCGGTAGTCAATTTTCTATAGTACCCCCTTTTTTTCCTTTTTGGCGACGACTGGCCTCCCTCCATTCCCTCCGACCCCCCCTCCCCTCCCCCGCAAGCGATAAATCATGGCTGTCGCTGAGTACTGTTGATTGGCATCTTACTTCCTGATTTGCTTTTTTTTGTCATTATTTAAACATGGAAATTCGCTTTTCTCAGTGTACACTCGAATCCTCAAACGTTTTTGAATATAGTGTAATGTGGCTAAAAAGTAGAAAGAACTTTACTTGTGGAACATCCATAGACTTCGACCCTCATTGAAATCCAGCTGTACCATCCACGAGGATAAAAACGAACGTGACTCGCCACAAACGGTCTGTTGATGAGGTGAAAAACGATTCCAAAGCGATTCATGTTTCCCCTAAACATCTAAAAACAAGGAAAGAAATAGAAATAAATAAATGCACAAATTGCTTGGCTAGAGTTGTTTCAAATGACTCATACAAAAATAAATGACTTTCTTCATTTATCTTTAACTCTCAAGATCTCATTTGTACTCCTCCTCACTGTCGTGGTGCGGAGAATTTGGTATTGAAACAACTAATTATCCCTTAATTGATATTTTTTCTTTGTTCCCATCAATTGTTTGCTTGTTATTGTATCGATGGCGAAATTCTGTCTTGGTCACTCATGGGAGTTAAAGGATTAAAATGAGGGAAGCTTCCTTGCTCCTCTATTTGTTCTCCTCTTTGTTTCCATGTGTACTACAGGAAACACTTTGAAAAAAAAGCATGAACGCGAATTTCTATCTCCTCTGCTTCGACGGGAATGTCTGCTTTCCCTGTACTCAATCATACACTTTAATGATACTCCTATTTTCGAATTTGAATCTGAACAAGAGCGAAAAAAAATGCAAGCTCATCGTGTAATGAACTATATTTTAATATCTGCCCATACTTCCTGCTACGTGCAGCACTAGAACATTTGCATACTATGATATGGTCCAGTAAATGCACGGATTCAGTGAAGGATTAGTCTGAAAAAATTAAATCGTAACAATAATCTCTATCTCTTTTACCATTGTTCCTCGTCCCTCGTGGTATGGATAAAATTTCATGCCATCTGTACTGCGACCAAGTGTGTACTGCGTTACCCATTGGTTAGCGTCCTGTCTGCCTTGTGACGCGATTCCCTTCACTGTTGCACTTCCTCCAAAAGAAATCTGCATCCATTGGCCGTGCCGGCGGTAACGTGCGCTCCATGACCAGCGGTGATTTAAGCGACCGTGCCATGGTGCCAGATAATGATTATAGTAAGTAGAGGCCGAGAAAGAACCTGGGACCAAGCGGCCGTCTTCTGCACCAAGAGGCATGCGGCATTGGTCTGCAAAGCAGCATAGGACAACAATCAAAAGGTTGACAGTAAGTAAATATATAACATTAAAACAAGCACATCCTACCAGAATTTGCGCGAATTTTGCCGAAAGGAAGTTGAACGAGGAAAACACCTCCCGATTACGTTTGACAAATGAAGCGAAGTGTCACATGCTAAAAAAATCAGAGTAGAGCGCCAACACATCTCCAAGACATGAAATCATTATCCCTCAGATGATGACAGTGGATTTCTCCTCTCGTTCTGACCTTGTCCCGCTAATACTAAGTCACTATCCACAAATTAAGTGATTACCTTACTCTCCTTGCCTGCCTGTTTCACGCTATATAATAGGCTGGATTATACAGGCATTTTGACCGGTTTATATTAATGATCTATTGGAATCCATTTTGTATTTTATGTATTCATTGTTGAGATTAATAAAAACTCAGAATATCCCACCAACATAACATCCATAAAACTCTGTCCTCATGGAGATATGGCTGCGCCATCCCCAAGGGATAATCCTGATGAATCGTGCTCTGATTGGTGTACTGAGTGTATTGGTCACCACAGTGTTTCTGTCTTTGTTAGCTGAGAAATACTGAGAAAAAATAAAGACAAAGAGCTGTAACAAAACTCATAGTTTAGTCCGAAGTAAGACTGGCAAATCGCTAAGTTGATGGTAAATTTTCTAAAGCATGCCTCTTTCTTTTGCGAGATAGTTCCGTTAGATGATAATACTAATGGTCCAAGGATCCTTCTTTTTCTCCATTTCACTCCTTGAGATCTATATTTCAATTCTCTTCACTGTCTGCTATACATTTCGTATAATCTTAGCTCTGATAATTTGGCGTTTAATTAGACAATATCGACCAATTGTTATGTTTCTTTTTTCTCAAGTCCCTTCCTCCCAAAAATGTATCGGAATTGTATGGTGAAACTCCGTTTTTATCACTCTTAGGAGTGAAAAGGTTAAGCCAGTCACTTTCCATCGTCTGCTGCTTCATCAACGCGGGCACTCAAGAATAACGTTACACGATGTACGGTCTTTTAGCACAGTAGTCGAAAACGCGTAAGGCCATTTAAGACATTTATAATGTTTTTTTTATCTACGTGTTAAATAAACCATGTATTCCAACAGTGGTCTCATATTTTACTTCGCTCAAAAAACAAAGCATCTTCCTTTTTACGTTGCGCGAATATTTACTGCTTAAGCTTGTTAAGATGATCACCCCAATTAACAGTGAAATATGACAGTCACTAATTAATCTTCCGTAAGGCGTGTAAATAATTCTTGGGAAAAAATTTGTCTCCTTAGAGCATACTATTGTATATCCCTTTGTGCACTGGAAGCTACTGTACACAAGGACTTTATCTTTGCAGAGAGCGAAGGTGTGATGTAAAAAATGTTTTAACTATGCGTGACTACTTCGGTTCATTACGGATACAAACACTACATTCCCCATACCTTAATACCATCTCTCAGCTTATAAAAAACCCATGACAACCCATCTTGACTGTATGAGAGTCGGTACTGTGTTACCCATTGATTTGCATTTTGTCTTCCTTGAGTAGCGACGGCTGTAATCTTTGTCGGTCGACGAAAGTTCACTTGAAAATACTGATTACGATTGTTATGCCGTGAGCTCCAAGCTCCTTGGTACCTTCCACGGGCGGTGAAATGCAGGCGTCCCAGATAGGGACCGTGATTTTTGTCCCATGAAGAAGAGGCCGTGATGGCATAGTTAGGAATCCTGCGATTCTGCATTCCAAGAGGGTTCTTGCAGGGTTCTAAAGAAAGTGAGATTGTAACGTTTGGCCAAAATAAAGTATACCGTCAGAGGTATTAAAAGTTTTCATCGGGTTTCGCATCCACTGTTTTAAACAATCAATTGTTACTTACTCTCGCATTTGATATTGCCTCGTAGGTCATCAAAATTGATATGTCCCCAGCCACCTGAGCCATAATCCACAAGACGCACAAATCCCGTTCTTCCGATGTATTGGCGTACATTCCATCGCTTCCGTTGCATGGTTTCTTTGCAACGTCCTGTAGTCAGAAAAATAAGAATTTACAAGAATGTTAAATTTATATTTTACCTCAAGCTTGTTGCGAACAAAGGTGTGATACTCTAAATCAAAGGTTGTACTAGCTTTTCAATGACATTGAGAAGGTATGGTGGCAGACGCATTCTCACATGAGGTCACTGTGATTGCATTTATCATATAAGAACATATAAGAATATATGCGAACTATATCAGAGAACATCTAACGAGCAAGACGAAATGTAAGGTAGCTTGAGCATAAAAACGTTTTAAGA